GCAGCTTGAACTAAATTAGACACTTTTTTACATTGATATATGACACAAGTATAGTTGGTTAAAACATTAGTAGTTTTTGCGTATGATGTTGAAAATGTTGTACTCTTGAACAATCCTATGATTCGACATGTGTAGACAAAATCAATATTGTCGGTCCTCTGGGTCTAAGGTTTTAAAGGTTAGCCATATTTAGCTTGCTACACTGACAATAATACACATAGTTGAGCAAACTAAAATTAAGGCCAATCTTATATCCTCTTCACCCAAGAGAAAAAGTGTATTGAGTCACAAAATGTAAATTTTACAGAAGAGAGAAAAATATATATTTAACAAGTTGCAATTAGAGTCTTCGTTTGAATTTTATATTTGCTGGTAAGGAAAAGCTATTTGAAAATATATAAATTACAGCAAAAAGTAATTTAAATATTTTATAATAGTATATATTTCTTACACATATTTAGATACCTTTCAAAAGAGTGGATCATCCAATTGACATTTCTTGGGATTTTATCTAGTTTGTAATTTTTAGTGTTCATAAAAATATTGTCGTGATTCGATATCTTCTAGATTTTAAACTTTAATAACTTTGAGAGATTGGGTTATATTTTTTAAAAATGTATTAAATTTGTCCCAACTAATAGCAGCTATAAAAGTATAAGAAAAACATAACTAAAAAAAGTCCATTATCTTCTAAGTTATTGATCGGGTTAGGTTAGGTATACTAGCATAATTGTTGATATTTCTTGAAGTTTATACAGTTTTAACTGAAAACTAAACAGTCATTTAAAAATTGTTAATACTAAGGGTGATGATATTTTAATTCTACAGAAATGTTTTGTTTTAGAATTTTTATTTTATAATACAGTGTAATTCATTAAGGATAAGACACGTGTTTTTCACTTAAAATAATTGCAACTTTTGTAGTTTTTCTTTTTGGACACACTTGAGTCAATGTAACTTTACAATATTAAACGACCAAAACTTTTACTAAAGCTCTGTCGACTTAAATGGCAAAGTATATTATGTTTAAGACGTTATCCTAATTATACAGGTAAGCATGCTCTATAATGGTAAATTATAGAGTGCTTTGCAACTCGCCATTAGGCTAATATGTGGCTATTTAGTTGTAACATTTGACAACCCTCTCGTTCAAATATATATTAAACACTCGACTAAATTAGAATACAAAAAAAAAACGAAGGTCGAATTATAAATATGTATTAACTGTAAAACCGGTATATATATATATATATATATATATATATATATATGTGTGCGTGTGTTAGGGTGGTCATTATTTTGATTCTGAGGAGCAAAGTATAGAAATAGGTTTGAATTGTCGAAAAAAAAATGTCATAATTTTTTCAGATTTTTCACTTAAGAATAACAGGTGTCGCACAAGGCCTTAAGATTTGTATTGAAATAACATTGTTATTATTTATTTTCCAATAATTGTTTTATTACAACGGCTAACTAATTGCAAACAAATTTTCAACTATGAAGAAATGTCGGGAATTGGTACTGGTACAAATGAGAATGTAGATAAAAGACAATCCAATTAATTTCTAATTTATACAAGCCACTTGTATAACATTTTTTGCTTATTCGATAATATTAATAATGAATACTTCTAAATCCAGACTGGTACAATGATATCTACATTATGCCTCGTGTTTACATATTATTGTATATCATTCATACGACTCAACTCTCAAGATCAGTGTATATAGTAGAGCTAAACAAAGATTTCACTAAAAATTAAAAATAAAACAAAAACCCTACCATCGATATTCGTTTATTTCTATTAAAATGTATAATTAATATACAATATAAAAAATACATACTCGTATATAACACGTATATAACAAACAATGTTATATAGGTGGCTTGTATAAATTGGAAATTAATTGGATTGTCTTTTATCTACATTTTCATTTGTACACCAGCACCAATTCCCGACAATTCTTAATAGTTGAAAATTTGTTTGCAGTTAGTTACCGAAATTGCAGCACAACATACGCCAACGCCATGACAACAGAAATGTTATCGTATATTAAAGATTTCCCCTTATCTTTAATTACTCGACACTTGTTTTTATTTGTTCCTAACAAACCGATAAATAATTTTTTTTTCAACCATACTAATTTGGTATTAACTCTACAGGGTTATTCATTAAGGATAAGACACTAATTCTTCGGAATATGTTAATATTTTGAACAATATTTTTAGGTGCACGTTACACTATATTTTCCAATATTTTGAAAAATGGGCATTTTCGTTTTTTTTTTTTATAATTAATAAACCGTTTTATTCATTACTGCGGGTTCGACGATTCCACGTGTATTGGTTCACACAAGTGTTAGTGAATATAACGGTTCACAAACAAGTCGAATGGACGTGGTAGGAGTTGTTCAAGTTGTGTTGAGAGAGATCCGAACAAAAACGGCAGCCGGTGGGGTAGACCTCTATAGGGTGACGCACAACACAATATCAAACGGTGACTATAGGGTGGGCGTAAACATGTGTAGCACGTGTCGAGTGGACCGGCGTCGAGGGATGAACGTTTTCAACAGGGGTTTTTTATGTGCATGCAAGCCAGACAGCCAGGCGACCAGGCGTCCCACCACCCACCGGTCACGGCGCATGATTTATCCGTGCAGAATCATAATATTATATTGTGCAGGTAAGCGTTTGTGCAACGACGGTCGAACCCTTTGGGACATTCGGTGTAGCTTTTTTTTTTTTTAATAATGACCTTATTGATACCGTCGCACGTATACAAGGTGATCCAACTAACGTAAGACACTCATTTTCTCTCTGAAAACGCGAATATTTTGAGCATGTTTTTTTTTTACCTTTACTTTTAGTTACATATTTTACTACATTTTTCAATATTTCGGAAATGTTTATCACCAATCTTTATAAGCCAAAAATGGGGATTTTTGTTTTTTTTTTTTTAAATGACAACATATGTTTTTAATTAGCACATAAAATTCATATTTGATGATGATTTATTTATTTATTATTTCCAAACAGAATATATATAATTTACAATATATGAGTAATAAAGGAAAAAGTTTTTCTCCAAAAGCCTGATGCTTATGTCTTAAATTTATAAATTTTTTTGTTTTCAATATTGAGTTAGTTTACAAATGACAAATAGCAGTATAATATAATAAGAACAAATAAACAACAAAAATAAGTAGATTGTAATAATTATAAGTAAGTTAGCGTGTTAAGCAAACATTTTTCAAAGTTTTGACGCTCTTAATTTATAGATGACAATTTTTTTTATATAACTTAAAACTATAACTATGGAAACTGTTTATATCAATACACAAAGAATTACAGAGTTTCAAACCCATATAATATGGATTTCTCTTAGCAAATTCCCTATTACATTTAAACATTTTTAACAATTTGACGTGTACTATATGCATTATTAAAATTAAAACCTTTATAAAGCCATACCAAATGGAAAAATAAATGAATAATCTAAATTCAAACGGTAGCATAATTCTTAATTTGTTGTCTACAAACTTGTGTTTTTAACAACATATAATGTTTTGATTTAAAAAAAACCAAAAATTACCTTTTTTGGCTTAAAAGGATAGGTGATAAAAATTTTCAAAATATTGAAAATATAGTTAAATATGTACTTAAAAGTAAAGAAAAAAGAAATTCTCAAAATATTCATATTTTTAGAGAAATGAGTGTCTTGCGTTAGTTGGATCAACCTGTATAGTATATTTTATTTTTCCGATAAAATAACTCAAGTTTTAAAAAATAATAGTTATTTGTTTTATAATGTGTATTACTTTATGTAAAATCTTTATTTATTAATTATTTTTAATTAATTTTGCGTTCAGTATTACTAATTAATAACAAACGTTATTTACCTCAACGAGTAAAATATTACTTTTTATTTTTACTTTACTTTTAATTGCAAATAACAAATTTGACATAGAACAGATTTATTATTGATTTTGCTCTTTTAGAGCGAAGCGTTTTATTACTATATTGATTAATATTGCTAAGTTTAAGGATTTTTTTAAAAACTTCCTGAATAAAAAGCCAGTATTTGAAAATAGACCCTTGTTCTAATGAGCGTTTTGATTTGTTTGTTGGTCAATAAAGTGCTGTATGGTATAAATGTTGTCTAATAGTTATATATTACACATGCGTTTTCAGATTTAAGCTGTTTTGGACAGTTTTTCTTAAGCAACGCAATATAATATTATACAGTATTTTAGTCAGCATGCAAAAGTTAATGTCGTTAATGGAATTTTTCAAAAGTTTATAATTGATTGTTTATAATATTTATTTAACACAAAAAACACTTGTTCTATGTATGAAACGTAACATTTTTATAATATTCAATTAATATGCTTAAAGAAAAAATAAAGTGCCGTACAGCAAACAACAACATTAACTTTGAGAATATTACAGTATTGAAAAGTGGTTATCGAATTTACATTTTACATTGCAAATTACTTGTTTTAATCACAGCTGTGATTGTACATATTATAACACTAATATTAGGCCCTTTTTTTTAGTAAAATAAAATTATGTTTTCTTATTACGGTATGTTCCGGTATACGTGCCGGGCCAATATTTTAACAAAATATCAAATGAAAAAAAAAAAATTTTGTTTAAGAAAAAACGCATTTTGCACAAATAAAAATCCCTAAACGTCTCAATTATTTTGAACACAACAAAAGGTGTACTGACAAGAGTTATCGATTTGCATACTATACTATGGCTGCAGGCCAGACACCACAAAGCGCACCCCTCACAACATTACGATTGCATTGTGCAGTGTACAAACTCACCCCTTTAGTTAGGTCTGACGGGGTAGATTATTGATTAATGTGTAATGTGTCGGCCAGACGGCCGGGAAGTCCCACCCACGGGTCCCGGCGAACGGTGCAGAATCCACCGCCGTGTTATACATTGCAAAGGTAATAATTATAGTACAGTTGAAGTTTGCAACCCTCCGGAGTAGTTTCGTTATCGTCGCAGCGCTATCGTCTGGCAAAAAATACCCAAACAAAACAAACACCAGTTGGCAGTTTCCAGGTAAGTTTTAAACATAATACAACCTACTATGTAGTATTAATGAGTCTTGACAAATTGTAGATCATATAATTGATCAATTAGCTTCCACGCGTACCTAAAACATATTATTATTTGTACAATGATGTTCTTATTATTTAGTATTTTTTTTTTTTTTTGTCTTCCATCGTCGGTATCTAAGCCGCTTGGTCGATTTTTTAGTATAGACACTCTATAGACCAGAAATCGTACCTGAAACGGCAGTCTTGGCCCGAAAATTTCACAAAAAGTCCACCTCTTCCACTGAAAACCGAGAAAAAGCCCAAACAATTTACTGGTTTTTCAACTTGACATAGCGGTGCTCTAAAACTTTTATTTAAAACGGACAAATTAATTACAAACAAAAAAAAAAAAATACCAAAAGCCATTTGCCCTAGAAGGGATGGAAACTTTTTCTTTAGTTCAGTTTTTCAAGTGAATTTTTAGAGCTTAAGGTCTTAAAATTACACCAAAGGTAGATCTAGGATGGAGCTAAAACGTATAAAATTTTCTCAATAATAACTTTAGTCAGACTTCTTCGTAGTCAATTTCTAGGCGGTCATATTGTGTGAGAGAATCAACAGCCAACAGGTATTTGAAAATATTTGCTCAGTTGTATTAACTCATAAAGACCTGGGACCTCCCCGTTCCGTACTGGTTTATTATTTTTAGTTTTAATTAAGGAAAAAGATAAGTATGTTTCGTATATTGGTTATATCGTGATGAAAAAATATTTTCTTACATTTGGTTGAAAAATAGGCGATTTATTATAGAATATCGTAGAAGGCTGAAATATAACCCAGATACTCATTTTGGATCTCAATATAATGCTCCATTATAATATTGGGACCCGGTCATCCAGGTCACAAAATGCCGGGGGGGGTGTCAAATAGGGGGGTCATTTTAATAAAATTAAATGTTTTTGTTAAATCTTCCAAAATTAATTTAGTAAACTATTCGCCAATTATTAAGTACCTTTAATAGGACTAAAAAGTAAAAAATAAAATTAATTAATTTAAAAAACTTTTTTAAAAACATGCTTTTCTAAAAAATAGTAAAAAAGTGTACTAAAAAGTAAGATCGAATTTTACTACAAGAACAATTAACCGGTCAATTGCATCATATTTTATTTAAAACGGCAATTACTTTGAAAACAACCAAAAATCAACTACAATTTTAAATAATGTTCAAAATCTTTAATTTTTGACTGAAATGAAAAGCGTGGGCCATAGTGTAAATACTGTTGTGTGCATTTCAGAATTATAATAAACGTGAATAATTGGAGGTAGACCAAATGAAGCAAATTTGAATAAATAGTACATAATTCAGCAAGTAGCTGGTAAGGTTAGGTAAAAAGAGTCGGATCGAGTTGACATTTATAAGAAATATTTATTTGGTACGCCCTCACACATCAATAGTCTCAAATTAAAATTGTACCCATTTTCCATCCCTCTAAGGGGGGGGGGAAGGCAAGTTTTTTGGGTTTTTTAGTCGTAATTTCAAATTTGTCAGTAGTTATAACTCATATGTATCCATCACACCTTAAATCTTTTTTTATTTAATGAATTGGATTGAATGAATTTAATTTAAGTAACTAAAAACTGTGAGAAATTATAACATAAACTGTTGGTACTATAATAGTTCTTATTATCAATTAATGTAAATTAGGTATGTAGATAAAATTATGACATTCAAAAAGTCCTAGCTGATAAAAGTTTAATCCGAAAATATTTGATTTTTTTTTGGAAAAGTGAAAACTATAATAATATTGTTTATTGATGATCGGTTTTTTTTTAACGTTCATTTTAAGTGCTGTTATTTTAGAAGTGTTGGAAGTGTTTGCCGAGGCAAATTCGTTCAGCTTGTTAAGTGACTTGCTATTTAGTATTTACTAGCTTCATTATTGCCGATTCAATGAAATTGTTATTATTATTTATTTATATTTATCCTTATGGCAGAACAAAGTGGGTGTTAGAAACATCTGTCGTGTTTGATGTTTTGTAAGCAAGTTTTAGGTTATGGAAGTAACGTATAATGGAAATTGTTGTGTATATTGAAAACCCTTTTTTTTTTCAAAGTGTACTAAATGTTTGTTAAGATTATGTTTGTAAATTATATTCATGGTCCGGTTTCACTGCCGGATCATGTACTTGAAGTCAAACTTTACATGAATATTTAACGTTAATCTTTTATGTGTTAATCAAATGTCTGTGTTATCAAGTGCAATTGTTGACAACTCACTATAAATTTGCCATAACCTTAGAAAAGAAAATTATAAGTACAAATTATAAAACTAAAAGCAAAACAAATTTATGAAATTATGAGTTTATTTAATATAATGTTAACTAAATATTTCAATCACATGTGGCAAAACACCAATGTTTTGCATATTGTTATACTGTTATTAACACTACTACACACGTTTTATTGTATAAATTATCCAATATTAGATAATTTGCTTCATGCTAGTTAAATTTTTTTAGTTCATCAACTTCCAGCTCCGATGTTGTACACAATATGTCATTATTTTATTACTATGTCCAAATAAATATATATTTTAACAATAATTAAAAAACATAAATAATAATACTTTATATTATGACTAGGTCAATTGTCGGGAAATTTAACTTAGTGATAATTCTCTTATACTATTATTAAAAAAGCCAATACAGTGGGGTCATCCCATTGTGGGGACGGGGTGATCCAAACTAAGCACAGTATAAATTAACATATTAAGAAAAAATTAAAGTGAGAGAATTGCAGTGTTTAAAAATCGTTCATCAAAGCATTTTTTTTGAGAGTGATTTTGTATTAGAGTGACTTTTTTTAATAATAATTCCTGTAGACCCGTGACCACTCCGTCCCCTCTATGCTTTTATGCCTCGACCCTACAGTATTAGTCTTCTCGGATAAAATCACTTTCAAAATAACGCTTTGATGCTAACCTGTAAACACTGCACTTCACTTTAATTCTTTCTTTTATTTAAAAATAATAATCAACATGTCGATAAAAAATATTTAGCTCTCGTATTAGAATATCTCAATGTTTTGTACTTGAATACTTTTATATTATACTTTTTAATGACACTATAATAAGCGGAGTTTAAAAAAATATATCACTTAATAATAATGTAATGAGGTGAAATCGTAATGGCAATACTATGCTTTAGATCGTCTGACTATAATGATGTATTGGTATAGTTATCTGTATACATTCTAGTACACAAATATATTTTCTTTAACTGTTAATCGTTGTTTTACTCACATATAGCAAGTCAATAATTACCACTGATCAATGTGTCAATATCGCTTTTTTTAGAAAATTCCATAAAATATTAAAAATGTTATTTTTTTCCAATGATATCAACTTATGTTTAAAATTTAAGACGGGGGTGTAGTGTGGTAGAGTAATAGCGAACTTATAAAAAAAATAACTCAAAGGAATGAAATATCCAAAACTGGCTATCGACTAGTTAACATATTCAGCAAATTATTCTTAATTCGAATTGAGTAAATAAATATAACTCCTTACTATTAAACTTCTAAAATTGGTCAGAGCTCTGAAAATTATATCTTGAATTCTACATTTTGTGTATATTATTATTGCTCAATCAATTTTATATGTATATATATATATATACCTCCATTTCAATGAATAAACACTGTAATATGTTTTTTTTAACTTTTTTATTTGAACGGCACGATATTGTTTGTTCTAGTACAGGACCTAACCGAAATTACCAATAAAACGAATATACAAATAGATCAAATGGCTACAACCGACCAATACTCAAACAAACTTCAGAAGTTCCTATGCGATTTGTGTAGGAAATGTTTTTCTACCAAAAAGCAAATTCTCCGTCACATGATTATCATCCACAATACTGCAACGGCGAATCGTTTTCTCGAAAAACACAAGTCTGATGAAAACCCTTACAAGTGTGGAGTTTGTTTAAAATCTTTTAAGACGAAATCCAATCTGGTAAGACACCAAAGCGTGCATACTAAAGAAAAGCCCTACAAATGTGTTGTATGCCTGAAATCGTTTTCGGCAAAATCCTATCTGGTAATACACGAACGAACGCACACTGGACAGAAGCCATACAAATGTGACGTGTGTCTAAAGTCTTTTACACAAAAACCTAACCTCACAGTACATATGCGTGTCCATACCGTAGAAAAACCTTACACATGTGCCGTTTGTTTAAAATCGTTTAAGGCGAAATCCTCACTGGAAACGCACATACGGCTGCATACTGACGGAAATCTCTTCAAATGTGACGTGTGTCTGAAGTATTTTACACGAAAAGGAAACCTCGCAGTGCACAAACGATTGCATACCGGGGAAAAACCCTACACTTGCGACGTGTGCCGGAGATCATTTTCGACAAAATCCTGTCTGGTATATCACGTGCGCAAGCATACTGGCGAACATCCTTACAAACGTGTTGTATGCTTGAAATCTTTTTCGGAAAAATGCAATCTAGTAACACACAAATGCACGCACACTGGCGAGAAGCCATACAATTGTGTCGTGTGCCTGAAATCAAATTCGGCAAAATCAAGTGCGGTAACGCACGAACGCAAGCACACTGGCGAGAAGCCACATAAATGTGACGTGTGTCTAAAATATTTTACTCAAAAAACAATCCTAGCCGTAAACAAACGAGTGAATACTGGAGAAAAGCCCTACACTCGTGACGTCTGTCTGAAACCTTTTTCGGAAAAATCCTATCTGGTAAAACACGCACGCGAGCACACTAGCGAGAAGCCATACAAATGTGAATTGTGTCTAAAGTGTTTTACACAAAAAGCGAACCTTATCCAACACAAACGTGTCCATACCAGAGAAGAGTGTAACGAGTGCTTAAGATCGTTGACTCCAGAGCACCGCCTGGCTGGACTCAAATGTGTCCATATTGATAAAAAGCCATACAAATGTGTTTTCTGCATGAAGAGTTTTACAAATAAAGGAAACCTCGCGATACACGAACGAGTGCACACTGGCGAGAAGCCATACAAATGTGACTTGTGTCCAAAGTATTTTAGACAAAATGCTCACCTTGCCCGACACAAACGTATCCATAGCGGAAAAAATCCTTACAAATGTGCCGTTTGCTTAAAATCGTATAATGCGAAACCCAGTCTGGTAACGCACATACAGCGGCATTCTGTCCAAAAGCCATATAAATGTGCTGTGTGCCTGAAATCGTTTTCGGTAAAATCCCTTCTGGTAGTACACGAACGAGTGCATACTAGCGAAAAGCCCTACAAATGTTTTTTGTGCCCGACATATTTTTCGAGAAAAGCCTATCTGGTGAGCCACGAACGCACGCACACTGGCGAGAGGCCATACAAATGTGACGTTTGTCTTAAGTATTTTACACGAAAAGCCGACCTCGCCGTACACGAACGATTGCATACCGGAGAAAAACCTTACGTTTGTGACGTGTGTTTCAAGCGTTTTACTCAAAAAATTACCCTTACGGTACATAAACGTGTCCATACCAGAGAAATGCCTTACAAATGTGAAGTTTGTTTAAAATCTTTTAAGGCAAAATGTAATCTGGTAAGGCACGAACGCACGCATGCTGCAGAAAAGTCATACAAGTGTGTTGTGTGCCTGAAACCTATTGCAATGAAATCCTACCTCGCTAAAAAACATAAACATGTTTACTCTGGTGGAAATCCTTGCGAATGCGAGGTTTGTTTCAAGTGTTTTGCTCAAAAATGAAACCGGGATCGACAAAAACGTGTTCATGTTTGAGAATAGTCAGATATTTGTTCTTCACCAGTCTTAATCTAAAATTCAAATTTAAGATTTTTTTTAGTTTGTGTGTTGTTCAATACTCTATACTTGTTGTAACAAAAAATAAATCATTTTATAGAAATACATTTTTTTATCATATTTTAGATTTATATCACTCATTGTATTGTCCTTTTTTCTGAATTTCCACATTTTAATTGTTATAAATAAATTATTTAAACAATACTTTATTAAATGCATATGGTTTATTTAATGCCTACATGATTTTGTTTTGCTTACACAATTTTCGTATCACATATTCGAAATTTATAATATAAACATTAGCACTGACCCGTGCAATTTATTGCCCATAATAACACAATTTTAGTGTTTATTTTATATTATTAGGTAAGGCTAAATAAAAAGTAGTAATATTCTCACAATTCTAAATTGCAAACTCTTTAGAATAAAATTCTACAAGCTTGGCCTTTCTCTTTTAGAATACCTCGTATACATTTATAATTTTGTCCATTTGGAAACTAGTAATATTTAGCAAAAATTAATATTATAATTTTAAGTTGTTTGGCGTAATGAAAAAAAGGAGAAAAATACACTTGGACCGTAGTCAAATTCTAGGCGGTCATATTGTTTGAGTGAATCAACATTCAACAGTCAACAGGTATTTAAAAATATTCGTTTAGTTGTATACAGGGTGATTCATTAAGGATAAGACACTCATTTTCTCAGAATATATTAATATTATGAACAATATTTTTTCCAATATTTTTCAATATTTGGAAAATTTATATCACCAATCCTTGAAGGCCAAAAATGGGGATTTTTAAATGGCAACATGTGTTTTTAATTACAAACATTTGTAGACAAAAAATAAAAAAATATTTTAGCGTTTGAATTTTGTATTTTCATTTATTTGTTCATTTGTTATGACTTTTTAAAGATTTGATTTTTTTACTGTAATTCTTAGTATTTTCAATCGTTACTACAAAAACGAGTAGTTTTATTACACGCATAAAAATATTTTGATAAAGTGGGTTTGTAAAACCAATATGTATACCTGTGTTAGAAATTGGAATAGGTTGTAATCTGTAGATAAGAATCGTTTGTCTATCAAAGTCTTTTAAACCAGTGACTTTTTTTTGTTAGAGTGTTATCGCCAAATGGACAATGCGAACATAAATATGAACTTAATGTGCTACCGGTTTTGGAAAACCGAAGAAACATGATAATTATTAAGAGAAAATGTAGTATCTTAACAAAGTCATGGCTAATGAACAAATAAATGAAAATACAAAATTCAAACGCTAAAATATTTTTTTATTTTTTGTCTACAAATTTATGTTATTATAAATATAAGTTGCAGTTTAAAAAAAACTAAAATCTCCCTTTTTGGCCTTCACGGATTGGTGATAAAAATTTTCAAAATATTGAAAAATATAATATAATGTGTACCCAAAAATCTTGGAAAAAAATATTTTTCCAAATATTAATATATTCCGAGAAAATTAGTGTCTTATCCTTAATGAATCACCCTGTAGACCTGTGACCTTCCCGTCCCAATATTCTCTGTCCCCACTGTACTGGTTTTTTATTTTTAGTTTTAATTGAGTAAAAAGATAAGTTTGTTTCGTTTAATAGTTATATCGTGATAATACTATATTTTATTATACATTGGTTAAAATATATTTAATATACTATCATGATTAGCTGTAGGTTTTTATAAAAATTGCACTTATATTAAAGAAGTATCTTGGTAGCCGGGACTTGTTAATCCCAAATATAAGAGGAGATAAGTAACGCGCCGTGCGGTCAGGATGGTCAGTTTTGTATAGTGTGTAGCCGTAAATTTAGTTGTTTGGTTTGTGTGTTAGGTGTGTTTCGGGAATAATAATAATTTATATTAATTATAAATAGATAATTATGAATTTATCTTTTATCTTCTCTCTCTTTTGTATTCAATCCTGAGATTGGTTTGTAGCAATTCTCCACTGTTCCTTGTGACTTGCCTTCCTCTTTGTCTCTTCGTAAAAACTACACCCTTGGTCCTTAATTATTTTTTGCATGATATACTCCATTCGTGGTCTTCCCCTAGCATTTTTACCTTTTACACAGCCTTCTATAATTAATCCCAGCAATCCACCATGTTTTAATACGTGTCCAATCTATTCATTTCTCCTTTTCTTGATACTACTCCATAAAGTTTTTCTCTCAGACATTCTTACTAATACTTCCTCGTTTGTTACCATATCCGTCCAAATTATTTTAAGCATTCTTCTGTAACACCACATCTCAAAAGCTTCAATTCTTCTCTGTTCCTCTTTGGCAATCGTCCACGTTTCGCTGCCATACAGCATTATACGCCATACGTATGTCTTCAGAAGATTTATCCTGGTGCGTATGCTGATATTTCTTTAATTAAAAAGTCCTCTTTTTTGTTAAATGCTATCTTAGCTTGGCATATTCTCTTTATTATTTCTCTTTTACTTCTGTCATCTTCACTGGGTCATTCCACGTCAAATTACCTAATGGGTGTGCGACTATACTCCAAAAATGTTTGAAATTTGTATCGTACATTCTTTATAGGTCCTTAATAACAAAAACATTAAAAACAAATTTTTTTTTGGACCTAGGTAGGTCAATTTTAAAAAAAAATTATCCAAAAACACCTCATGTTCCCGACTCTGTAATTTAACCTCCGATAGTGGTATAGATATAAAACCTGCACAGTTAAAATTATAATTAGGTGTACTTTAACCATATATTAAGAAAATATATTTATTTTTATTTTTTAACCCTAGAAATTTTTTTATTTTTTTTGAATTTTTCAAAAACATTTTTTGGGGTCAAACAGTTAAAAATTAAAAAAAAATATTTTGTTTATATAAAATTTAAGTTATGTTCTTATGATCCATATCATCTTTGAACCGATTAAGTTTTTTTTTGCTATTAATTTACGGCTTCAAACATGGGTATTTTGCTGAAAACTACCTACTTTAATGACCCACAACACAAATGTGACAGAACGAAAATTTTCCAAATTCACGCAATACTTACTTATAAGTGAGAAGATCATCTGGTAAAAGTTTGGTGATGGAGAAATTATTTTGACACCAGAAATAAGGTTTCAATTTTTTTTTTTTTTTCAAAAACTTTTTTTGAGGTTAAAAAGTAAAATTTTTTAAAAAACTGTTTTTTTTTTATAAAATTTAAGTTATGCTCTTATGATCCATATCATCTTTGAACCAATTAAGTTTTTTTTTGCTATTTTCAAACATAAGTGGTAAGCTGAAAACGGCCTACGTTAATGACCCACAGCACAAATGTGACTGAACGAACATTTTCCAAATTTACGGGGTACTTACATATAAGTAAGTAGAACATGTGGTAAGAGTTTGGTGTTGGAGAAATTATTCTAACATCCGTGGTAAGCGATCAAATTTTACGATTTACACTTATTGGAAATATACACAATTTACATTTACATTTTGAACCTTTACCACTGGTTTGGAAAAACGTACAAACAGTTGCTCGACATTAAATCTGACAACCGGTATAGTACAAGAAGACAAATGATAAGAGTAATTTCTATTTTTTTCGTAAAGCAAATTTTGTAGTTAATATTTATGTTGGTTTACTCCATTTGCATTCCAGAGGAATATGGTGGTCAACTAAGACAAGTTATAATTGGAGAAATTCATTTTTTAAAAGCACTTTGTTTATGCCTGAGGTGAGAAGTGTATTAAGTCCTTAATAAACGATGATAGAGTATTTGTAAGATTTGTTGTGTCTTGGTTGTTTTTGTTGTTTAATACTTAAGTGAAGAGTTTTTGTGAGTGGGGTTGAGTATACTCTTTTTGTGAGATGTGACTTGGAATTAATTTACAATGTTTGAGTTTGTTGGAATAACTAATTTTTGTTCAGGGTTTTTTTTTTATACGTAATTAATTTTTGGTTTTTTTGTAAGATCCTTGTAAACTATGCATCCTTTGTGGGAGGTTGATCGGGTGCGTTTGAACAGTTTTTGGTCAGATGTAATTTGCCACATTTAACACAGAGTGGTTGGTGGTTGCAAACATGTTTTGTATAATCAAAATCTGGGGAGCTGAGCCATTGTATAAGTGACGGTGAGGATGTGGTCCTCTTAAAACAAATGGGATTTAATTAAATTATATTAGTATTTTGATTGCTTGGTTTTAAGTCGATAAAAAATAAGGGTAGTGGTAATTTATTTCGACTACTTTTAGAGCGTTGAAACCAAGAACCAGTATAACCAGATAACCAGTTAACATTTTCAGGAATTTATTCTTAATTAAGTAAATAAATAATATACCTTACTATTAAAGTTCTAAAAGTGGCCAGAGCTCTGAAAATTATATCTTGAATTCGCTATTCTACATTTTGTGTATATTTATTTATTGCTTAATCAATTTTAAATATATATATATATATATATACCTATATTTTAACGAATAAATACTGTAATATGTTTTATAAACTTTTTTATTAGAACGACATGATATTTTTTGTTCTAGTGCAGGACCTAACCGAAATTATCAATCAAACGAATATACAAATAGATCAAATGGCACAAACTATAACCAACCAATATTCAAACAAACTTCAGACGTTCCTTTGCGATTTGTGTAAAAAATGTTTTTTTACCAAAAAGCAAATTTTCCGTCACATGATTACCATCCACAGTACTGCAACGGCTAATCGTTCACTCAAAAAACACAAGTCTGATGAAAATCCTTACAAGTGTGGAATTTGTTTTAAATATTTTTCAGCAAAATCCACTCTGGTAATACACGAACGAACGCACACTGGTCAGAAGCCATATAAATGTGACGTGTGCCTGAAATCTTTTCCAAATAAATCCTATCAGGGAACTCATATGCGCATACATACTGGCGAAAAGCCCCACAATTGTGTTGTATGCCTGAAATCTTTTACGGATAAATCCAATCTGGTAAAGCACATGCGCGTGCATTCTGGCGAAAAACCTTACAAATGTGTTGTATGCCAAAAATCTTTTTCGGAAAAATCCACTCTGGTAAAGCACATGCGTTTACATACTGGCGAAAAACCATACTCTTGTGACTTGTGCCTGAAATCTTTTTCGGTAAAATCCTATCTGGTAAGACACATACGCATGCATAATGGCGAAAAGCCTTACAATTGTGTTGTATGCCTGAAATCTTTTACGGATAAATCCAATCTGGTAAAGCACATGCGCATGCATACTGGCGAAAAACCTTACAAATGTGTTGTATGCCTGAAATCTTTTTCGGCAAAATCCACTCTGGTAACGCACAAACTCACGCATACTGGCGAGAAGCCATATAAGTGTAATGTGTGCCTGAAATCTTTTCCAGTAAAATCCTATCTGGTAACTCATATGCGCATACATACTGGCGAAAAGCCCTACAATTGTGTTGTATGCCTGAAATCTTTTTCGGCAAAATCCACTCTGGTAAATCACGTGCGCGTGCATACTGCCGAAAAACCTTACACTTGTGACTTGTGTCTGAAATCTTTTTCGGTAAAATCCTATCTGGTAAAACACGAACTCACGCATACTGGCAAGAAGCCACACAAATGTAATGTTTGTTTAAAATCTTTTACTGTGAAATGCAGCCTGGTAACACACCAAAGCGTGCACACTAATGAAAAACTTTACAAATGTAAAGTTTGTTTAAAATCGTTCAAAGTGAAATCCAGTCTGGTAAGGCACGTAAGCCTCCATACTGGCGAAAAGCCCTACGAATGTGTCGTGTGCCTGAAATCTTTTTCGGCAAAATCCACTCTGGTAAAGCACATGCGTGTACATACTGGCGAAAAACCATACTCTTGTGACTTGTGCCTGAAATCTTTTCCAGTAAAATCCTATCTGGTAAGACACATACGCATGCATAATGGCGAAAAGCCTTACAATTGTGTTTTATGCCTAAAATATTTTACGGATAAATCCACTCTGGTAAAGCACATGCGTGTACATACTGGCGAAAAACCATACTCTTGTGACTTGTGCCAGAAATCTTTTTTGGCAAAATCGTCTCTGGTAGCACACGAACGCCTGCATACTGCCGAAAAGCCCTACGAATGTGTCGTGTGCATGAAATCTTTTCTAGTAAAATCCTATCTGGTAAAGCATATGCGCATACATACTGCCGAAAAGCCCTACAAATGTGTTAGATGCCTGAAATCTTTTTCGATAAAATCCAACATGGTAGCACATGAACGCACGCACACTGGTGAAAAGCCTTACACTTGTGAAGTGTGTTTAAAGTGTTTTACACAAAAATCAAACCTCGCAGTACACGAACGCATGCATGCTGCAGAAAAGTCATACAAGTGTGTCATGTGCCTGAAACCTATTGCGGTGAAATCCTACCTCGCAAAAAAACATAAACATGTCCATTCTGGTGACAAGCCTTGCCAATGCGAAGTGTGTTTCAAGTGTTTTGCTAAAAAATACGACACAGTTAAACAACAAAAACGTGACCATGTTGGAGAATAGTCTGATCTTTATCAGTCATCAGTCTTTACCTACAATTTAAATGTAAGACTTTTTTGTCTATGTGTTAATCATTACTTTATACTTGTTGTAACAAAAAATGAACCATTTTATGGACATTTAGTTAAAATTAAAAATATCTTTTAGACATTTAATACTTTGTGTTGTTTATTTTTCTGAATTTCTACATTTTATTGAACAATGTTTTATTTTTAAGTTTAGTTCATTTATTGCATATGTCTACATGTTTTTGTTTTATTTACCCAATATTGTATCACATGATTAAAATATATAGTATAAACACCAGCACTGACTCGTGCTGGCTGCTATATTTATGTGTAATGTAATATTATAAAAAATCATGCTAACAGAACTGGTTGCTTGAAAAACGCGTAGGTTCTTTTTTTATTTAAGTGATATTTACAATCTATACAATATGTTTATTATAATAAGTAACTGAGTTAATAAATGAGCGATTGGCTAGAGACATTGGGATTGCCGTCAATTGTAAAAACTGCTGTGTCGTTCTCGAAAGTGACCAGAGTTGTATTTGCTGTCTGGGGGATGTCGGCTGTGAGCACTTTGTATAGGTCTGGAGATAAATCGCTTCCTTGGGGACCTCTTATTATATGGTCACTCTATATTTTATACTTGAATACTTCTAACTATACTTTTTAACAACACTATGATAAGCGGAGTATAAAAAATAAATATCACTAAATAATAATGTATTGGCATAACAACGTAATGACAATAATGTAGTTTAGATCAACTAACTATAATAATTTATTTACATAATTATCTGTATATATTCTAATTAATAAATATATTTTCAATAACCTATTGATCGTTGTATTACCCACTTATAGCAATTCAAAAATTACCACTGTTCAATATGTCAATGTTTTATTTTTAAGTTAGTTTGTTTTGATGAATCTGATGAATCACTAGTTTGTCCGAAATATTTGTCGGATACCTGTTGCTTGTTAGTTTACTCGCACTACGGTCGTCGTGTAATTTCTCCTCCCCCTCTTTTTTTTGTTTTAATAAAAAAAACCGTTTGACTGCAGATCTACCTTAGGTTTGGTTATCAGACCTCAAGACCTAAAACTTTACCTAAAGAAGCGTAATAAAGGACAATTTTCCACCACTTCTTAGGTAAAGTGTTTATGATATTTGTTTTAATTTTACAGTAGATGTTTCCAACGCGACTTATTACAATAGAGCCCGAACCAAGTCCAGTGTAACTCATAAAGAGTATAATCTAAAGTACAATAATGAATTACGGTTGTAATGTGGGATCCAGTCTTAATGAATTCGCACCAAAGCATTCCTATTTTTTCTATTCTAAACTGCCAGAGTACCAATTGTGTGATAAAGATCTCACCAAAGTAAGTTGATTCACAAAAAAAAAGCAGTCATGTCTTCAGGCACAAAATAAAACACAACTAATTTAAAACCTTCTCGGCTATTTCTATATTGTTATTTGAAAGACATCCAGCGGACCCATACACAATAGTAAATAACTAAATTTAATTAACTCTTGCTGCATGATTACCACATTCCACATATTCTGTATTTCAATGTTTCAATATCGGTAATATTAACAAAAAGTAGTACGGCCTACTTTGAAATCAATTTATAACCATATAATCATAATTATTGAGTCGCTTCCCCACGAATACCGCGTTAACAGGGTAGTTTATATGTTGGAGGTAATAACCAAAAACATGGCGTAGGATGAATTAGTAGAGTAAGTCTCAGAGACGAGTACAACATATTAAATTCTTTTTTCATGGAGAAAAATTAAAATTTCAATTTTATGATTTATAAGAGCATTAGCATCAGTTTTCCCTTAGAATAGAGACATTTTATCACTACTTATACGGCTTTAATGAGGTTCTACCCAAAAAATATAATAAAACAATCTTAATATACAAAATATTATAAAATAACAATATGTATACAATATATAAGCAATAAATATTTTATTATAAAATCGTGATACAAACTGTTTATTATTAAATACATTTAATTTATTGACAATTTGGATAAAAGTGAGGTAAGAAAAAAATATTTTAACCAAACAATAATGGCATTACAAAAGAAATTATTATTATAATAACTGATTCAAATTATTGTAATTAAAAAAAAAAAGGCCTTATTGGAGTACGATTACCTATTTCTACTTCCCACAAGTCATCATCAATGAATGTATATACGAAAATTGTAGCGCCAGTCACATCTTCTAAACTGCAATAAGGTTCGTCAAGAAACACAGTGGATATAAATGAAAGTGGGTATTTAATAGATCTAAATAACCCTGCTAAACGACACATCATTTCTAAATCCTTGAAAAGTGGATCGTTTTGGCCTTAAAAAAAATTGTCCGTATTTAGCTAACTTCTTACTAATTTTCTTTATTTACAAGACAAAACTTCGCACAATAATACACGTGTATGATAAACCATAAAAAAATAACAACACAAAGGCTTTCCGTATTATACAATGGTGTTATTTTTAATCATTATTTTTTTAAAGTAGGGGAAACACTAAGCAGTGTTATAAACAAATGTCTTCTCTGGATTTAATTTAATTGGTAATTTTTAAGAAACAAAATTGGTTAAATAAAATTGACATCAAGTCCAAAATTAATCTATAGGCAATTAATGATTATACCGAAAAGATAAAATGTTACCTTAAGAATAATACCTAACTCATATTTGTATGTTAGTAAAAAAAATTCAGATATTCATGTTGAGTCAAATCTTTAATACTAAATTTGTGTATTACTGTGGTAAAAATAAATGTCTGTAAATTATTATTATATTTTTTTATAATAAATACTATATGTATATTTACGTATTAAAAATTGTACAGCTTCTAAAGTCATTTCTCTTCTTGCTCTTCCCAAAGAAGACAGGCCTTAATAACAAATGAAAAATAAATTAGTTGCTTGCGATTGAATCGCATTACATTCAAAATAAATGTAATATCGCCAATTTTCGCATAACCATGTCATTAATATTTAGAGGTACTATATTACACCAACAATTTTAAATATAAACTCCCATCCCATTAAAATTGGAATAAATACATAAAAGGATGATATACAATTGAAAAAATCAAAATTAGTTCTATTCTTGATATAATGGTGTGATTTGTCCCTATTAAACAATTTAGAAATGAATTGACATAAAAACACATCTCATAAGCAAAGACAAATAATTATAATCATAGTGTTGCAAATAGTTGGTACAATATAATAGAATATAAAGATATCCTAATTAATAGACATAATTGTTATAAAAATAAAAATGTAAATGAATTATTTTCATTGGTCCATATAAAAAGTATACAGTGGTTTAAAAACCATTACAACTCAATATTAACAATTACCAAATGAACGGATGATTCTTTTTCTTGGAACTGCTGTAGGATGGTTTCTTCTCTTTTCTAAAACACTTGCTAAATTTTCTGTAAAAAAACATAAAATACTGTGATGATGTTATGCCATAAAAACAGAAAACAAATTATTTAGTTGTGATAGCATGGCATTACATTTTAAATAACCGTAATTTTACCAATTTTTGTACAACCTGCCCTTAATACCTAAAATATACTACACAATCATACTATTTTTGCAATTACTTATTTTTAATGTAGCTATGTGACTCGAAAGTCACAGTTAATTTAGCTAGCCTTATTTCAACGTATTAAACAATTTAATTAGTTTTTTTTTATTCCTAAATCTTCTTCTTTATCTTCGCTTTGCACTCCCAACTATATGGGGTCGGCCACCCTAGTCCTACACCTCCATAGAGCTCGGTCTTCTACATCTCGTTCAATCACCCCCGCTATCATCATATCACCCTGTATTCCGTCCACCCATCTTTTCTTTGGTCTTCCTCTTCCTCTTAATCCCTCTACATTCATCTTCATAACACCTCTCACTGCCTCTGCCTCATCTCTTCTCATAACATGACCGAACCATCTCAACCTATTCACTCTCATTTTCTCCACAATTGATGCAACTCCTAGACTGCCCCTTATGTATTCATTTCTTATTCTGTCTTCCCCAGTCACTCCACTCATTCATCTTAACATTCTCATCTCCGCTACACTCATTCTCTGTTCCGTTTTCTTATACACTGCCCAACATTCCGACCCATATAACATTACTGGCCTCACTACCGACCTATAAATTGTACCTTTCTATCTTATAGGCATCTTTCTGTCACACAAAACACCCGACGGTCCCCTCCACTTCACCCATCCACGATTTATTCTATTTTTCACATCCTCCTCGTACCCACCATTTTCCTGTACCACCGATCCTAAGTACTTAAACCTATCAACCTCGCACACTTCATCATCACCCATCTGCATTACCTGTCTTACCCTATAACCTTCTCCAAAATCAAACACGATTGTCTCCGTTTTACTCCTACTTTCCCTTCAAGCGGCGCTCTCCACTCTTCAAGTCTCTCACCCAATTCTTCCGGACTTTACCCCACTAACACTACGTTATCCGCAAACATCATACACCATGGCACCTCCTTCCCTGTATATCTTTCGTAATCTCATCCATTACTAAAGAGAACAAGTAAGGACTAAACGCTGAACCTTGATGCACGCCTACTCTTACACTAAAATCTTCAGTTTCTCCACACACACTCTTCACTTTTGCACTTGCCCCTTTATACTTTTTTCTTTATTACTTTCACATACGCGCTCGGAACTCCTTTCTTCCTTAACGTCCACCTCAAAACCTCTCTGTTTTTTTAATTCCTAATTGCCTTTGTAAATAAAACTGGCTAAAACTATGTAGGTTTGTTATTACCTAATTTTATTGTAGGTGCTTCGATACGTCCTGTAACAAGAAGATAATATATGGAACAATAATACGGTTAAAATGTTTTTATTTTTTTTTTTTTACCTATCACAGTCATTTTAAAATTAAAAATACTTAGTCAATTCAATCAATGCAAGAACTCCTAGTAGCGTCGTTTGAATTAACGATTTGGACAATATTTTAACGATCATCAAAAAACATCATTTCCAATATCTAGAGTCTTCTTTTGTTAAGGTAAAAAGTTTAGTTGTTTGACAATAACTGAAATGACGACTTGAACTGGATATAAATTGCTTACTCAAATTTCGTCTATTAATTACAAGTCATATCTTCTTTAGCAGAGTTATGAAGTGTTAAAATAAAAAAACGTTGGAAAAAATAATTCAAAGTATCCACACTACAAGCGGATACATAGGCACATTTATATGTCTTATGACCGAGTAAATGTCAATTTAAGTATACCTAAATTTCTTATTATCTGATTTTTAAAATATTTTTTGTTGGCCAAAAATTGTTTTTAGCAGTTTTTTAATATTTGGCCTCAATCGATTCCCATCCCCAGCCCCATTTCCATCCCTTCACAACAGCTTTACATTATCCCTTATCTCTAATCTCTCATATCTTATCAGATAATTATTTATCAGTTCTTTCATTCAAAAAAAAAAAACTAGATCGTGCCACACTTACATATTTTCTACTGTAACGCTCAGCGTCACGCACAGATATTTTAGCCTTTAGAGAATATTTACTACTATCTAATATATTAATGATTACCTTTTTCGGTATAATCAGGCGGAAGATTTAGATCTAGACTTTGAATTGAAACTGGATCTGTAACAAATTAATATATAATAATAGTTCAGTCAATAAAAAACCTGTTTTTATCATTTTGCCATAACAGTTACTTTAAACTGAGCATGCTTGGATGGAATTATTTAATGTAAGCCATTTTACAGCTAAAAATAGTTTAAAAAAGGCAAATTTAAATTACGGTCGAACGTCCAGACTAGAAGCAATAAACATATGCCTTATTGATTTTGAACTAGATCAATGTTGAAAAAATATTATTCGTATAATAATGTTAAGTATTATGGTTACTATATAAACGCTCGGATAGTGTGTTTCTAACACTTATATCTAGCCATATTATACTTGTTTTAAAATATTTGATGATTTTAAATAAAATATAAATTTTTTTTATTGTATATCAAAATGCTATTTAATTAAAAAATAATAATGTTAGTGTGAAAATATTATTTACATATTGTGCACTTTACAATTTCATTAAAAGTACAGTTGGACCATAATGTAAGAACTTCTAGTAGCCTCGTTTGAAATAGCGATTTGGACATTGTTTTAAGGATCACAAAACAAAAAGTATAGGGTTTCAATTTAATTTCTAGTCGTATAATTATTATTTTTATTTAGAACTATATTATAAAAATGAAATCATTGTTCATCCAAAAAGTTAAATTTTTTCTTTACCTGGTGTATCGCTTATTGCTGCTTGCATAATTTCCTCGTATTTTGGCCTATCTAATATTCAATATAAAATCAGTTTGAATGTAAATTATTTCTAATGATACTATTATAACTAATGACCTTAAAAATTATAAAAATAAAAAAGTTATAAAAATTTTTTATAATTTTCCTATAACAGTTACATTAAACTGAAATTTTTTGGATTTATTTAAGCAATGTAAATTATGTTATACAATATTGTTCGTTAAATTGTTTATTTACCTGTAACAGCAAGTATTTCTAACTGTAACGTTTTCTGGTACTCTAACTTTTCTAATGTTAAAAATATAATAAATTTAATGTAAATCTTTTCTAATAATTCAAATCAATATTATAAATGTATTATGTTTACCTTTAAGATGTATTATTGTATTACCAACAGAAACTAGTACTTTACTCTCTAAAATTAAAATTAAAACATTTTGTACTTAATGAATATCAAATAGCTATATTCAAAAATTATAGCTTAAGGTAACACCTAATGAAAATTCATGGCGTTTGATTTTCAGAAGTTTATTCATCTACCAACCTAATATCTACTTATTAGCTGTATTTTTTTTATTCAAAATGAATTCTATTTATGACAGTATAGTATTAAGTCAATAACATCCACACAGGCGTTGGAATAATCAAGATAAAAACGATATTAATTTTCCAGGACGTAATTTGTGAATAAACCAACAGTCAATAGTTTCAATAAGTCAATTTCGAGAAATCAATCGAAATAAGTAGATTATCATATATACATTTTATTTATTAATCAAACCCTTAAAGAATATTTACGACTATTAAATACATTCATAATCACCTTCTTCGGAAATAGTGGACGGATCAAGATTTAGATCTGGAATTTTATTTTGACTAGGGCCTGTAAGAAAATACATAATAATAATACAGTCAATAATAACAGGTTTTATGATTTCTCTATAGAAGTAACTTTAAACTGAGACTGTTAAATTCTCTCTTAGATTAAATTAAGCAATGTGAACTATTGAACAACTTAAATTTCGGAATATTTTGTACATCATGAATATCAAATAACTATGTTAAAAGATGTTTATAAAATGTTAATTAATAAGAAAATAATTACCTGATTCTTCCAATTTGTCATCCATACTCTCTGTAATTAGCATAACTCAAATGTGTTATTTCATGACATTATATTATGTTGTACATTATAATCTATTATTCTCTGGGGCAATGAAGAAACCTCTACGCGGTGCACCCGAGGCAACTGTGTTATCCTAACTGATAATACAGGCTTTTTTTCAACTCCAGGCAACAACAAAAACGAGATGCGACTGGAGAAAACGACAAGTTGTGAAACTTTTTAACGTGGAAGACCTTGACAACGCAATCGCTGCTATGAAAGAATCCAGCTGGACTGGACGACATTTGCACGGAACAAGTACGACATTTCGGACCGAGGGCCATTGACAGTGGATCGCAAACCTTTACAACTATTTAAATGAAACACAAATAATACCAAAAATATAAAGAAAAGCCAAGATAGTTGCTCTACTAAAACCTGGAAAAGAGGCGACTTGCCCAAGAAAATTATCGGCCAGTATCTATGTCACACATATAAAATGCAAAAACTATTATATGGCCAATGGCCTCAAACCAAGCACAGTTTAAACCAGCATAGCCTATGCCCGTGCATTCCAAACCGGTATAGTTTAAACATTTAGAGTATAAATCAAGTTCCGTCATAACTAGTAGGAGTACAAACAAAGCTCAGTTTAAGCCAGTACGGTCCAAAATAGTACTAAGCTCAATTATAATTTAGCATAAAATTAAAATTAAAGCAATTTGTACTTAATGAATATCAAATTTTACCGTCGGAATATGAGGAACTTTCTGAAATTAAAATAAAAACATTTTTTACTTACTGATAATCAAATAACTCTGTTGAGAAATAATATCATAATATTTTACCATCAGAATCTGACTCTCTTTCATCTGAAATTAAAATGAAAACAATTTGTAAATAATAAATACCAAATATCAATGTTAAAACATGTTCAAAAAATGTTAAAAAATAATTACCTAGTTCCCTCAATCTAACATGAATTATTTCTGTAATTAATATAATTTTAAATTATTATTTCATGACATTACATTATATTATTCTAACTTAAAAAAAAATGTGTGGGTCCTCCAGTAAGAACATAGTTTACATATCATGTGTTCAGAATTTCATGCAATACCCGATTTTTTTATGATGTAGATTTTTAAAAAAAGACTTGTGAAAAAAATTTTATTTTTATCAAACAGTAAAGATTTGAATTTTTTTTTAGTTAGAAGCTAGAGTTAGGAAGGTAGGGATACCGTAAAACATGTGAAATATTTGTATAAGCGATTTTGGTAATTATTACCTGGTACTGCCAGCATAATAGCCATTTGCTCTGAAATTAACATAACATAAAATAAGTGTTACTTTATGACGACCCTGCTTCGGACACAGAGAAACGGATTATAGATTGGACACGGAAAACGGACAATAGAATTTTAGATAGCGACCTGGAATGTAATGAGTATCTTTAGAGCTGTTGCGTGCCAAAACTTAGTAGAGGTATTGGTCGTGTATAAATTTAAAGTAGCAGGTATTTAAGAAGTAAGATGGACGGGAAAAGGACAACTAAAAGTAGGAAAGTATGTTGTATACTTCTCAGGAGTGAAAAGATCCGCCATTTTGGGTGTGGATTTGCCATACATGAGACCAATGAACCGTATATAAAGGATTTCAACCCTATATTAGAGGGATTAGCGGTACTAAAAATTGACACTAAACCTATAAATATCGCCTTGATATGCACTAATGCAACCAACGGAATCCGCTGACGAGGATAGTAAGGACGCCTTCTATGAGGACCTGATCCAAGTATATGAAAAATTGCCAGGGAATGAAATTAAGATAGTGTTGGGTGACTTATACGCTAAATGTGAAAGAGAAATGCAGTTTTCCCCTACTTTAGGAAAAGAAAGTCTACATGAGACGAGCAATGGGAATGGGCTCAGACTAATATCATTCGCGACAGGGAAAAATAAGGTAATAAGTAGCACAACGTTTTCCACGTAAGAGAATCTATAAAGGTACATGGAAGTCACCAGGTGGTGTAACAATTAACCAGATAGATCACGTTCTTATTCAAAAAATATTCCGCCATGCATTATAGACTTACGTAGTTAAAGGGAGCGGACTCTGTCACGTACCATTTTTTAATTGTAGCAAAATTCAAACTAAAAATTCAAAGTCAAAAACCGCTGGATCACAGAAAGAATATACCTGAGTCAGACAGCATACCATTAATTTGTGGTCCTATCTATAATAACCGAACAGTTGCGTGGAAAAGAAAATTGAATCGGAAACTACAAGAGTTGGGACTGGCATCAGTCAGTAGCTTTATAAGTGGCCAGTGAATGCAATGGCTTGGTCGCGTAATGCGCAGAATTGATAAAGAGATGGTTAGAGCGGTGCTGGAATGGAAACCTACTAGGAAGAGACCTCGCGGGCGGCCTAGAAATATATGGATGGATTCAGTAGAAGGAGATCTCAAGAAAATACGAGTACGAGAATGGAGAACGATAGTTCATAACAGGGAAGAAAGAAGGTAGATTATGATGGCGGTGAAAACTCTTAAAGAGTAATAAACTCCAGCAGAAGAAGAAGAAGATATTGCTTTATTATTTTTATAATATGTTTAATGTTAATTTATTTAATAACTTTTATTACCCATCCCATATTCATCAGGGTTCGCAATAATATTTTTAATTATACTCGGCATGAATTCTAGAATAAACAAAAAAATGGTTTGAGTAAAAAATAATTTGGAACAATCTTAAGCAAAATTTTACATAAATTATTAATATATAAAAAAAACCTAAACCATAAAAAAATAATTCACCCTCTATACAGCAGCGTCATACCGGAGTTATTACATTTTCATCGCATACATGTCACCATACGAGATTTAATCAAATGTTTTATAATGGACTTAAGGTCCAATTTAATAAAGTATTATTATTTTTTTAATCTAAGTGTTTTTCTAAGATTTATGAAATTCTCAATTTTTAAATGTCCTTGTCTGTTCTTTAAGCCTAACCCTAGTATTTCCTTTAGAGCGATCAATGTGATATTTATCACAAGTAAATCATTGTAATCTGTAATTCCCCGATACTTCCTTTTCCCCTATTTCATTTTATTGGTTCTACCTTATAAAGATATTAAGTTATTATTTTTGATGCAACTAGAGTATACCATAGTTTTACCTTTTGCTTGTCTGATGTCATCGTCTGTAATAAATTATATATAAATATTAAAAATAAATATTTTGTTGTATGAAAAAAATATATACTGACTTATTAAGAGAACCTGGTTAATATAGTCATCTATAAAAAAAATTAAATATTGATTTTTTTTTTATAGATTTCTTCTACCGTAGGTACGTGTGAAATTTAAATAATCACCTAATTCAGTGACCAAAACATGTCCAACCAATGAAAATGACATTAAAATAAATAATAGTTTCATATTTTAACTGCAAAAATAATAAATAACACTTAACCTTTATGTATAAGATTCTGTGACTATTTAATTATTATATTCTATCAGGAGTTGTGATGTTATAACTGGCTTATAAATTGAATGTGTCCGGGCACATGACAACTTTATAGCTGTGTATCAATTAAATAGATCAGAAATCGTACCTAAAAGGTACTTAATTTGGCAAAAAATGTACCCCTTCCCCTTCAAAGTTTAGAAAAACATCAAATATAATTACACATTGACATGGTTATGTCTTATCGCTGGTGATTATCACACAAATTTGTCCGCAACGTCACGCTGAATGTCACATCCGACAACAGCGGAGATGAGGAGTGGGAGATTAGATAAAAGAGATAAGAGATTAAAGATAAGAGATTAGATATTAGAAAAGTACTAAAAACTTCAAAATAGTAAAAACTCAATTCTGATAAAGTACTTTCTTTACTATGCAATATAATCTTGTATGATAGGTTAGGTTTAACCACAAGTTGCATAAATAGTTGATAAAGTAAAAAACGGACGGATAAGCCCCTAAATATTACTACTCACATAAACGCGAAAAAAATAAAATTTGAAGGCAATGATTTTACACATTTATAATTTTAAAAAATCAGGGAAACCGAAAATAAAATACGATATTTATTCAATTTTAACTTTATCCCCTTGTACATTTGATGGCAAACTCTATCCCACAATAACCTCAAATCTTAAATACACCAAACACCCAAATCTACCACAGTAGTTTTTTATTTTAACATTTTGAACATTTTAAAATAGTTGTTAAATGTTTTTCATAAGATATGCTGTTTTAACATATGCGGTTAAGGAGTCTAGCAATTTTTTTCAATATATGTATTAATGTATGTAGTGCATACGTGTTTATTAATTATTTGAAAGTGGGACACTTGTGTAAACAAAATGCTGTACCGGCTTTTTTATTTTTTATTTTGTTTTAAACCAGAATTTTGCTATCAAGCGGGTATTATAATATTACATTTATGTGTAATCACAAATATTTTGAGGTTTAATACAAACATATAGTCATTGAACAATTATTAAAGTAAAAGGCAACGTGTACAAACACAGATTAAATTATCTTTGTACACAAATTCTAAAATAATATGTTTAATGCAAAAATATTGTCAACATGTGATTTAAAAATAATATTTTAGGGTAATGATATAAAAGTATAGCGCTAATTACAATTATAAAAAAGCCAGAACAGTGAGGATGACGCACGATGGATATTATAGGGTCACATATCTATAAAAAATATTACAGCTGAAAGTGATAACATCACTTTCAAATCAACGCTATAACGTCATATACAAATTTCCTTTAAAAATGTAGTGAAACTTTATTGTGTTAAGGAAAACCCAAACTAAATGGGAAAATTACACTTTGGCATTTGTTAGTTTGTATGTTGCAATGAGTGAGAGTGAATCAACGATCAACAGGTATCTGAAATTCATTTGCATTATATCGTTTGTTACAATATAATATAGGTAACAACGGCAACAAATTGTTGTAGAAAAATGACCAACCTTAATCGTAACCACCCTAATAGTAAAACTACAATATAAAGTACATTAATCATTATTGTCATTACAATACTATTATCGATAGTTGTATTTTAGTTGACAATGAGGTTAGGGTAGGCTAGGGATAGGTCACTGGTCTACGGGATATGATTGTTAATTCACTCACACATATTTTCTGATTTATAGTATTGCTACACAAAGAAATCGGATTAGCAGTTAAAATAATATCGTGGATCCAGACACAAAAATAAAAACACATTATTTTAAATACAATACCTTTTCAGCTCCGCTTTGAAGTTAATAATTAGTAAAACTTAAAATAATGTATAAGAATGTACTTACAATATCAAAAGATTCATGAGCAACATTCATGAGCAAAATAACAATTGTTCTGTTTGTTAAATTATTTTAAATTAAGTTTCTTGCGACTCGAACGAATGGGCGTTTATGTCGACCGAAACGGTAAAACCGAAATAAATTTTGCAGTGCCTTTGTTCATTTATTTACATAGCTGTTTTTATTATCAATATTATTGCCTGTTTATATTACACTGACGCAAGTTCAAATTATTTTCTTTTTAAACTCTACAACATATACCTAAACCCTATTTTTGAATCGATATTAACGTAGGTGCGAAAAAAGCATTAATAAAGATGGTGTTTTATTTTTTTATTTTCATCAATCCGTTTATTAACTTTGTCTTTGTAAAGATATTATATTTTTCCTCTTATAATATTTTACTACTTCGGTTATCCAAAACCCAGTTGCCCTTAAAATTCGTAATTACGTTCACATTGTCAGGCAATACCATTCAACCACACTCAATACAATATTATGATATACCTATTTATTTTTATATTGTGTAATAATATAGTAGATAGTATAAGCTTTTGATTACTTATCAAGTTGAAAAATCTGAAACTTACCAGTTACTTTGTTTTAAAGTGAACAGTGACTTTGAACAATTCATATTATAAAAATGTATTCTATAAATATTGAATGTATTTATTATGAATATTTTATAAAACCGCATGCATATTTTACAGATTTATCCATATAGAAAGGCGATCATCTGATAACAACAGCGACCCTCTTCACACTTCTCACTTACTTCTTGTCATATCCAGTCGTCGGTCAGAGCTTTGTCCCTCTATGACCTCGTGGTCAGTGGGTTTGCGTTCGGGCCGGCGACCATTTCTTATGTCCAGTCTTTAGCCATACTTACCTGTTACTCACTAGTTAGGAGGATGTAAATATGATTTTAGCGATTCCCATTGTACTCGAGGCTTAACTCAGTTTATCTGTAAACATAATGTCAAATTCAACTTCCACTTGACAAGGGATAGCCGCTAACTAAGGTATTTTGTGTGCGCGATTAAGTTGATTCGAGAAAGGTTTAAATTCACAATTTGATCCGATGGAACGTGTTTTTAATTTGCAATCAATTAATATTGATTTATATGATTATCTATAGTGTCAACAGTTATCAATAGAGCTGCGGTATCATTTTTCATACCACAGGGATCCGATCAGCTGATTGTGTGACTAATACACGGGCAACGTTGGGTCGGGACAGCTTGTGTTAGACTTTCGAGTAATAATGAAATTAGAAGAAGTTTGGATATTTTAAAGGCACGGCTCACACATCAAACATTATAACATTACATTTACCATCCGTCATAACGTTGTAACTTAAAATATTACACATTTTTGTTGAAAGTTGATTGCTTCTAATATGATCATATTTTATCTTCCTTACACCTATTTTGTCATGTCAGTGTTATCATCGTCTTAATGGTTTAGACAACGACCAATATTTATTTACTAAGCAAATGTTTTTTTTTTTGTTTTGACAGTAGATCTTTCCAACACAGCCTAAATCAAGCGAAGTATACACTAGTTTAGTAGGAAATTATTAAAATCAGGTCCAGTATTTTTGACTTTTTCCACTTTTGATCCGCCAAACTACCGAATATTATTAAATAACAGTACAAATACAACACATAAGCAACAAACATTTTTATAAACTGTTTATTATTAAATACATTCAATTTATTGACAATTTGGTAATTAGTGTGGTATGAAAATATTGTTTAAACAAAACAACAATATCACTATAAAATAAGTTAAAATTATAATTCAGATAAAAATGTCCAAAGTTGAGCAGGATTGAAACGATCAGGTTCTACTTTCCAAAATACACCACCAAAGAACTTATATACGTGAGCTTCAATGTACATTATATCAATTATAACGCAAAAATGTCCGTCAACATCAGCATAGTGGATGTATGCTTGTGGATCTTTAATAGTATGGAATGCTCCTACTAAACGACACATCATTTTCAAATTCTTAAAAAGTGGATCGTTTTGACCTTAAACAAAAAAAAAAATTCGACATATTTTTTACCAATTTTCTTTATTTACAAGACAAAACTTCACACAATAATACACGTGTATAACAGACCATAGAAAAACCAACCAATACACACAGTTTCCATATTATACATTCGTGTTACTTTTATTCATTCGCTTTTTAAAGAAAAAAAATTGGGTAACACTAGGTTGTGTTATGAACATATTTCTACTCGAAATTTAACTTGTTTGGTAATTTTTGAGAAATAAAATTGATTGAATAGAATTGACATTAAGTCCAAAAAGAATCTGTAGGCAAACAATGAACTATCTCGAAAAGATGAAATGTAATCTTAACATTACTAACTCATAACTTTGTTTTACGGAAAAAAATTCAGATAATTATGTTGTGTCAGATCGATACTACTAAATTTGTGTATTACTGTGAAAACAATGAATGCCTGTAAATTAATTTTTATTTCTTTAATATATTTATATTAAATGTATATTTACGAATTAATGATGTTATAGCTTCTAAAGTCAATTTTCTTCTTTCACTTCCCAAAAAAGTCAGGACTAAATAACAAATAACAAATAAATTAGTTGCTTGCGATTGAAGCGCATTACATTAAGATCTGTAGTATTGCACATTTTTTTACCACCTGCTATTAATATTAAAAGGTACTATATTGAACTAAATATTTTAAATATAAATTCCTATCCCATTAAAATTGAAAAAAATAATATACAAAAGGAAAATTTAAAAAAATTAAAAATAGTTGTCTCCTTGATGTATTATTATAAATTGTCCCTATTAAACACATTGAAAATTAATTGACATAAAAACATATCCTACAAGCAAAGACAACTAATTTTAATCATAATGTTACCACTATTTTGTGTAATATAATACGATATAAATGTATCATATAATTAACAGACAATTATATTATTATTAAAATATAAACATTATTTTTTACATCCATTATTTGAATAGTAGTAATAACCATTACCACTCAATATTAACACTTACCTGATTGCGCATGAATGATTTTATTTCTCTGAGCTGCTGAAGTATGTTGTCTTCTCTCTTCTAAAAGACTGGCTAAATTTTCTGCGAAAAAGTTATAAATTTCCGTGTTGAAGAAAAATAGGTAGGAAAAAAAAACAAATTAGTTGCTCGCGATAGCATCGCAATATAATTTCACTAATTTTTATATGACCTACCATTAGTACCCAAATTATACTATTTTTGCACATCCCTTTTTTTAATTTAGTTTTATGACTCAAAGTAAACCCTTTTTCAACATTTAAAACAATATACTCAGTTTTTTAATTAATAATGTGCCTCGGTAAATAAAACGGTAGTTTGCAATTTACCAAGCGAAACCCCCCCAAAAAAACCCATGTATGATTGTGATTACCTAATTTTACTTTAGGTGCTTCGACACGTCCTGTAACCAAAATATCAAACAATTATACGGTTAGAAAAATATTTTTTTTTAATTATTTTCATCACAATTGTCTCATAAATTGAAAATACTTAGTCAGTTGCAATATCTAAAGTGTCGTTTTGTAATGGTAAAAAGTTTAGTTTTTTGACAATAACTAAAACGACAACTCGAATTAGACAAAAATGTTGCACTCAAATTTCGACTATTAACTACAAGTCATACCTCCTTTAGCAGAGTTATGTAGTGTTAAAATAAAAAGTTTTTCAGCCAAGTCTGCAACCACGAAAGAGCATTTTCATGTCCGGTTGAAGTACCGAATAAATATAGATTAGTTGTGGAATTATAATAAAAAAAAAAAATTACATGGAGCTTCCAGTTACAGCATAAGCCAAGGGGATTAAAAAATTATGCACAATCATGTTTCTGGCTAAAATTGTAGTGTTTATTATCTGGCCAAAAGTAACTTAACGTAGAGGATTAAACTATTTTGAATTTATTATTTTGTTCTAATTTGAACGTTGAACGTACAACATATTTCTTATCTACTATATCTTACCCCTCTCCCCTACCCACTATCTCCCGTCCCTATCACTCACCCCTATCTCCCACCCCTATCTCCTGTCCCCAACCCCAACCCTATCCCACCACCGCCCCTATCTCCTGTCCCCAACCCCAACCCTATCCCACCACCACCCCTTATCTCCTACCCCTATTTCCACCTCCAACCCATCTCCGTGTGGTCGCTCTTTTGGTAACGCTTTTTTCGTTACGCTTTTTTTCGGTTATTTGCCATAGCTAATTACACCCCTTTCCCATTCCCACCTCATCTTCAACCCCATTTCTTTTTTGGTAACGCATTTTTCGTTACAATATTTTCGTTATAATATTTTCATTACAATATTTTCGGTTATGTGCCAGAGCTAAGACATGAAAATGTCAAAAACGTCGGACAAAAAATATCCTCGTTTATTGTTGATTTTTAGAGATTAAAGTCGACTTGGAGAAAAAATGTAATTAACCTACATACATTTCGTCTGATATTTTAACCCTTAGAGAACATTTACGACTATCTAATATATTAATAATTACCTTTTTCGGGATCATTAGGCGGATGATTTAGATCTAGACTTTCAATTTGATTTGGATCTGTTGGAAGATATATAATAATAATAATGCAAAACAACTTGAAATTTTATATTTACAGTTTAAACGTTTGGATATTTTTTCCACTCCTATCTCCTACCCCTATCTCTCACCCTATCTTCCACCCCTATCTCTTATCTCATATCAGATAACAGCTTCACGCTTTTTGACATTTTCATGTCTTAGCTCTGGCACATAACCAAAAAAAGTGTTACCGCACGAAGATGGGGTTGGGGTGGGAATTAGCCGGTACATAACCGAAAAAAAGTATTACCAAAAAAAGCGTTACGCTGTTGTCTGATATGAGATAAAAGATAGAGGTGAGTGATAGAGGTAGGGGATAAGGGTAAGAATAGGGGTGAGTGATAGTGGGTGGGAAATAGGGGGTAGGGGATAGGTGTGAGTGATAGGGGTAAGGGCTAGAGGTGAGTGATCGGGACGGGAGATAGTGGGTAGGGGATAGGGGTAAGATATAGAAGATAAGAGATGAGAGATATGTTCTACGTTCAACGTTCAAATTAGAACTAAATAATAAATTCAAAACAGTTTAAGGGCCCAAATTCTCTATGAATTGTTTTAAGCCAGATAATAAACACTACAATTTTAGCCAGAAAATTTACGTTTTAATATACTAGCTTGTTGCTGCTTCTTAATATACTATATTATTATCTACAATTCCGCAACTACTCTAAATTTATTCGGTACTTCAACGAGACATGAAAATGTTCTATCGTGGTTGCAGACTCGGCTGAAAAATGGCTGTTTCATAATGTTTTTTTACAGATAGATCGCTCGGAAAGGATAATTTATTTGTGTTGCTTGGTTTATTATTTTTTTTTTTTTGTATTTACGCCACCAATTGGCTGTTTTAAGTTACATAGTTGACATAATAATTAAAAGTACAATTAAACAAAGGATAACAAATATAAATAGACATAACATAAAGATAATAATAATACAAATTTAATGACTGACAATCGACGAAGGTCACACTAGATTCGCCGATCTGAGCATTATGTGCATTGGATGATTGTGGCTATAAGAAGTGGAATGAATAGGAGTATAAAAAGGAGTTGGATTTCGAGTAGTGTATGAAGGAACTTAAAATAAGACACGGGAGAGAAGATCAGGAGCATCAAAGGAATTATTAAGGAGAGCGTTTATAAATAGAGAGTCAGTATCATTACGACGGGATGATAAAGATGGGATATTAAGGATACGGCTAATATGGGAGTAATCATGTTGCAATGGAGGTAATTTAAGCTTGTATGCAGCATAAGACAAAAACTTATGCTGGACACGCTCAAGCCGCAATCGATCCTTAGCCAGATAAGGATGCCAAACAACAACCCCATATTCCAAAATGGATCGGACAAGAGCGAAATACAAAGTCCTAGGACAATTAATTGAGTTAAAGAGCTTCGTATTACGCTTGAGAAAACCTAAGACTTTAAGGGCTCTACCGATGATGACATCGATATGGTGGTTAAAGGAAAGATTGTATGAATAATAAATAACAAGATCTCTGATTATAGAAACTCGTTGCAATCGAGAGCCATTAAGTAGATATGGATAGTGCATAGGGTTTCTGGATCTAGAGAAAGAAATCACACTGCACTTACTGATATTAATGGAAAGACCTAAACGGGAGACCCAAATATGAAACTGACTATGTTCCTCTTGTAAAAGAAGGCAGTCAGCATGGGTTTCAATTTTATAAAATATTTTTATATCGTCGGCATAGAGAAGGAATTGAGCTTTCTTAAGATATCTGAAAATAGAGTTCACAAAGAGGCAAAACAAGAGAGGACTCAAGTGTTCGCCTTGTGACACCCCTGACGTAACATTAACCAAATTAGAGGAAACACCATTTACCTTAACAAATTGTTTCTGGTCTGATAGGTAAGAGCGAAACCATGATAGGAGAGGATCTACCAATACTAATATGCAGTCAAGTTCGTTGACAAGTAGGTTGTGAGGTACAGTGTCAATGTGCTTTAGAGAAGTCAGTTAGGATGACATCTGCCTGAAGTCCTTTATTAAGACAATCATAAATAAAGGAAGAGAATGACACACTACAAGTAATAGTACTCTTCCCAAACCGGAACCCATGCTGCTGTGGAATAAGAATGTTATTTAGTGCAGACCTCACATAACTATAGATAATAGACTCAAATATTTTAGCGATGTGAGGTGATATAGATATAGGTCGATAATTGGTTACAAGAGACGGATCAGAGGATTTAAGCACTGGAGTGACAGAGCAAATTTTCCTAACTAATGAGAAAACACCTTCATCCGTAGACTTTCTGAATAAAAGAAATAGAGGGAAGAATAAAGAGTAACGACATTGATTAAGTATATAAGCTGAAATTCTATCAGGACCATTAGACGAAACAAGTTTCAACTTACAAAGAGCAGCAAAAACATCATCAGGAGAAAAGAGACAATTAGAAGCGAGAGTATAAGGAAGTCTAAAAGAGTGGTCAAACAGACAGGATGAATTGACTGGCTTGAAGACGGACACAAAGTATTCCGAAAAAAGAAAGGCTGTCTCAAAGTTGTTAGAAGACATCGCTCCACCATAATGGATTTTGTTAGGAATTGAGGAGTGCTGATTAAGACCACAGAAATATTTCCAAAAATCACGAGGAGAACGAGAGAACTGGCTCTCAGTAGTATTAATATAAGTCTGATAGTTAAGCTTGGAGACGCGCTTACACTTAGCTCTTAATTCAGAGAATTTGTTGTAATCACAAGCGAGAGAAGTTCTTTTAAAAGTGAGGTGAGCTTGTTTTTTTCTGAAAAATTTAATTCCTAAGCTCTTTAGAGGCCCACTTTGAAAATGAAGAGCTCCTACTGTGTTTGAGGGGAACAAAACAATTAATACAATATAATAATAAGTCATTAAAAACTGAAGCAGAGTCATTAGTGTTATACTGAGCAAAAGTATCAATCCAGTTAAAAGACAGAAAAAACTCATTGATGGCGGAATAATTAGCATTCTTCAAATCACGGTATGAAAATGAATTAGACCTTCTCGATAGCTTGGGAAGAGGACAAATAATTGCTAAGGGAGGGTTATACGAGTCAACAGGTACCAAAGGAGCTGCTGCGCTACAAGCCGAGAGCTCATTAGAATTTGAAAAAACTAGATCAAGAAGACCACCATAGTAGTTATGGACGGAATTACTTTGAAAAAAATTATGTAAAGAGAATGAGTCAGTCAGTACGGTAGATGAAGGAGTTAAGGCACCAGTTGCAATAAAGCCAAGATCATCGGAAGCCCAGTTGATGTTGGGTAAGTTATAGTCACCACGCAGGACGACAGTTTTATGAGAATACATGGCAAGTATACTTTCCACCGAAGATACGAGGGATTCATATAGCTGAACAGGACTGTTGGGTGGAAGATACACTACACCAAAATTAAATAATGAATAGGAAATTTTTTTTTTTGATTTTGTTCTATTTTATTTAATCTAATATAATATATTTATGTTATGTTTGGTGATGTCGCCAATCAGTCGAAGCCAAAATTAGTTCACTTTTCTACCACTAGAGCGATCTGCTGGGGGGGGGCCAGGACTATATTATAATAACAAACAATAATTATTCTTATAAAAAAATAAAAATTATTACTTACCTGTCCCAGCGCTTATTGCTGATTGCATCATTTTCTGGTACTTTAACTTAACTAATGTTAAAAATAAAATACATTTTTATATAAATAATTTCTAACGACAGAAATCAATATTATAATTATGTGTTTACCTTCGAAATGTATAATGATTTTATGTTTAGAATCTGGATTATCACTATCTGAAATGAAGATAACAGCATCATGTACTTCATAAATATCAAAATAACTACATTCAAAAATTGTGGTTGAATACAACACTCTTAGATGTCTACTATTAGTAAGTATTACCAACAAATGGCATTACTAATTTTATAAGAAATACTTCTACTTATACTACTTCTAAGTTTTTATATAAATCTATAAAAGATCTATTTTTAATTGTAATAGTGCCAAGCATTGGTTGTGGCAATTTTTTTCATTTGGCTTATACATACCTTGCCAGTCTACTTCCCACACCTACCATTCTTAATTAATTACCTTTTTTTAGCTTATTGGTTCATTTAGTTCTTTTCTCGGTTTAGGAAGACCAAACGAAAAAAAAATAGAAACCTTTCCATTAGAAGGGTTGGAAACTTTGCAAGAGCATACATTTGTGACATAAGCTCTGAAAATTATACTCAAGAATGAGCTAGTGGGAGTTATAATATACACAACTTACTCAAAAATATAGGAACCATTAAAAAAATGAAATAATTAAACATTGTCACTACTAAACAGTTTTTATGATTTCTCTATAGAAGTTACTTTAAACTGAGACTGTTAAATTCTCTCTTAAATTAAATTAGGCAATGTGATCAATTGTACAACTTAAATTCGGAATATTTTGTACATCATGTATATCAAATAACTATGTTGAAATATATTCATAAAATGTTAGATAATAAGAAAATAATTTCCTGATTCTTCCAATTTGTCATCCATTCTTTCTGTAATTAACATAACTCAAATGTGTTATTTCATGACATTATATTATATTATACATTATAATCTATTATCCTCGGGGGCATAAGTCAATTTCGACAAATCAATCGAAATAAGTCTTTTACCAAACATATATACATTTTATTTGATAATCTAACCCTTAAGGAATATTTACGACTATTAATTACATTCATAATTACCTTCTTCGGAATCAGTAGACGGATAAATATTTAGATCTGGAATATTATTTTGACTAAAGCCTGTAAAAAAATACACATTAATAATACAGTCAGTAATAACAGTTTTTATGATTTTCTCGGTAGAAGTTACTTTTAACTAAGATTGTTTAAATTCAATTAAACAATGTTAATTATTGTAAAACTTTAATTTCGGAATGACCCTCAACCTAATAAAATATCCATGTTGATATTTTGTACATAATTAATATCAAATAACTATGTGGATATATATCCATAAAATACTAAGAAAATAATTACCTGCTTCTTTCGAATAATCATCAATACTATCATCTGTAATTAACATAACTTAAGTGCATTATTTCACGACATTTTATATTATTAAATCATTTAAATAAATTATTCTATAAATACTAAATAAATGTGTGGGCATTCATATTATATAGTAATGTTATATTATGTTATCTCTAATATCTAATTTATTATCTCTATTTTTATTCTCTTATATCTTATCTCTGATCCATTATCTCCAATCTTGTACATATACTCAATTACATATACTACAATTATAAAAAATTTAAAACTCAATTATAAATTAGCATAAAATTAAAACATTTTGTACTTAATGAATATCAAATAACTATGTAGAAAAATAATATCATACTTTACCATCAGAACAGGATTCATTATCTGAAATTAAAATAAAATCAGTTTGTACTTAACGAATATCAAATAACTATGTGGAAATATGTTAATAAAATAATGCTAAGAAAAATATTACCTGGTGCTTGCAACGCACAATCAATATTCTCTGGATTTAACATAACGTAAATGTATTATTTTATGACATTACATTATATTGCACTAATATAAGAAACAGTGTAGATCACAGATCTACACTATCCCAGTAAGTACGAAGTTCACATATCATAATATGGTAACGTTTATGTTGTATATGTTTCAATTATTATTAAACAGTAAAAATTAAAAGTTAGTAGGGGTTAGAAGGGGGTACGCCTTTAAACATGTGTTATATTTGTATAAAAAGATTTTGGTATTTATTACCTGGCACTCCCACCATAAAAGCTATTGCCTCTGAAATTGACATAAAATAAAAGTATTACTTTACAATCGTATTGGATTTCATGTTTTATTTTAATCGAAATAAAAAGACGGGCGTTCAGTAGGAAACACATGTGTAATAATGAATATGGTATAAATTTAATTGAATCCATTGTAATAAATTGAGTCAAGACTAGGGTAATAAGATCACTGAATAGTGATTAGATGAAGGATTAAAAATGGTAACTTCAACGTTGTTTGTCAGAAAGATTCCATTTAGATTTTAGAGTAACATTTAATATCATGCGATCGTTTATATAATTTTAAAATGTTTTTTATCTTTTAGCACGCCTTATCGTTATTATGCGTTTAATGTTTATTTATTGTATAATTTTGACTACCCATTTGATATTTATCAACGTTCTCGACTAAATTTTTAATTATTCTTGGCATGAAATCTAGAATAAACAAATAATGGTTAGAGTAAAAAAAAAAAATCTAGTACAAATATAAGCAATACTTGCCGTAGTATATCGAGTAATAAATTAATGTTATAAAAAAAATACAAATTGTTTAACCCATTAAGATACTTTGAAAATAAACCACAACTAATCATTTGTCTTCATCCACTTCCCCCTCCCCAGTGCAAAATCATGCTGGCTCTCATATCTTCCCTTGACCACCGTCCATCATTTATAATTATATTGTATATTATTAACTATTTACCTAACCTAAAAATCATATCTTAATCATATCTAAGAAATTTAGTTTCAAATAGAATATTAATAAATGTAAAATATTTTTAAAATAAATTTAAAAATCGGTTTTTTAGAAATAATTTAGCGTTTTAAATTTAAACAAATTTACTTTTTGCACGCTTGATTTGTTTGTCTGTAATAAACGTTATAAAAATATTAAAACCAAATATTTTGTTGTATTAAAAAAGTTTCTACTGACTGGTTATGAGAACCTCCTGGACATATTTATCTGTAAAAAATTCAAATATTGATTTTTTTTTATAGTTTATAAAATAAGGCACGTGTAAATACTATATAATCACCGTATTTGGTGGCCAAAACATGTCCAACCAATGCAAATGATATTAAAATACCCAAAAGTTTCATTTTTTATCTGCGAAAATAATAGTAAACAATTAGCTGTATGTATTAAATTTAGTCACTATTTATTTATTAACTTCTACCCGGAATTGAGAAGACATTGGTTTCACAACGATGTGTTTTTTTTTTTGTTGTGTGACTGAACCCGCGATATCATTTAATCCACTGAAGCGAATTCTTTGTGACTTTCGCAACTTTATAGATCAGAAATTGCATTTGTAAGATACTTATTTATGTCAAAAATTTTAAAAAAAATTACCCCTTGCCCTTTAAAATTGAGAAAAACAACAAAATATTTACATATCTTTTTTTTAACTCAAATTACCATCGGACTAATTTTACCAAAAAGTTGGGTAAATTAACATGTATAATACGTGTTTAATATTATATTATTTTAATATTAAACTTTTATGTGAATGTAAAATACGAAAAAAATGCATCATAGCTAAAATAGAATTTGAAATGCCTAAAAAAAGAAAAATTATTTAAGCACAGTATAATCTAGTACAGAAGATGTTAGCAAAATTGGGCTGAAGCAATTATAAAATCTGAATATGATTTTATCACAATCATACGCTTTGATGCCAATTTGTAATTAGTAAAAATCCAGCACAACATAAACCAGTATATGTTCAAACCAGTACAAATTAAACCAACACAGTCCGAACCAATACCAAAGTACAAAATAGAAGAAGATAGAAAATTGATGTTGGAACAAATACATTTATAATTCTCAATGCGATTTCATCACAATCAAATCCATTACAAAATATCTACTGACTACTAGCATCGAAGCATTTCTTTGAACGTGAATTTATTAGTAACTCTAAATCATTGGTCAAGGAGAACATCATATACGTCTAAACTAGTTCTATTTAATTTAGCATATGATAGAAGTTTCTATAAATAGGTACCTAATCTGGCGGCTCCTTGATAAGCCAACACAGTAAGAGGTTAGCATTATGTAAAAGAACCACTATTTTGTAAATTTTGTCAACCTGTGATTTATTACAGCTACGAATTTCAATATCAAGTTATACAAGTGCTCGAATAAACGCGGAAAAAAATAAAATTTGAAGGCAATTATTTTATACGTTGAAAATTCTAAAAAGTATAAAGTATTTGACATTACTTCGAACCGAATTTTTCGTTATTCACACTAGTTTTCTATTAATTCTAATTTAGCGCATGACAGGAAATTTGTATAAAGCCAACACAATACGAGATTGGTATAATGTAGTGGAACCGCTATTTTGTAAATTTTAACATTTTTAAATGTATTTAATGTTTTTCATAAGATGTTCGGTTTTAATGTATAAGGAGTCTAGCAATTTTTTTTTCTTATACTTTTATGATTAGTGCATACGTTTTCATTTATTATACGCAAGTACGGCATCGTGGGACACATATGTGTCATACATCTCCACTGTACTAAATTTAAATAAAGACAACGTGCACATATTACACACGGTAAAATTTAATAAATTATTTGGTTATGTGTGCAAAATTGTTATAACTGCATATCTGAACGAGGATTTTGTCAGCCTATATTATAACCTTAGAATTTATGTACAGGCTGGCCCACAATGATTTGACAAATTTGGAAGATTTTTTTTTTTAAATAATTTATAATCATTTGCGCTATAAGCACCACGGTTTTTATTGCACTTAACTGTTTTACTTTTTCTAATTATATTTTCTGTTACATTTTTTTTTAAAAAATTCATGATAACCATTTTGTTAAGAATAATTTGCTGAAAATTTTGGCCGGTCGACAAGCAGATTTGGATAATTTCTTTTTAATTCACCAAAGGTTAAAGGGTAGGATAAAAATAGCTCTACGCGCTTACTCTACTGCACCTCCCATCCTACCCTTTAACCTCCAGTGACTTAAAAAGTAATTATCCAAATCTGGTTATCAGGTGCCCGCCCAAACGTAATAAATGTTTTTTTTTATTTTGTAAAAGGGTCGTTAAAGGTTTTGGCAATCTTGGCAAAATGTTCGATAAAACGTTTATAATAGTTAGCCAGGCCGAGAAACGATTTAATAACAAACGCCGAAAATAAAAACACACCGTTATAAAATATACAATACCTTTTTGACATTGAAGCTAATAATCAGTAAAACTTAAATTATGTATAAAAAAAAAAATGTACTTACAATGTCAGAAGACGGTTAATAGGTATTTGAAATGTAAAATTCACGAGCAAAATAACAATTGATCTGATGTTAAATTATTTTAAAACAATTTACTAGCTACTATTGTATAAAACGTTTATGTCTACCGCAACGGTACTAACGAAATAAATTTTGAAGTGCATAGTTAGTAATATAGTTCATTTTCTTACATAGCTTTTTTTTTTTTTATATTATTGCAAATTTACATTACACCGATAAGAGTTCAGACTGTTTTTTTTTATTAAAAAAAAATTCATATTCCGAGCATTACAATTTGAACACAGGTTTATATACACAGAACTATTGATTTTATTATTTCTACTAGAATTTTACTATGTCCCTATGTTAACCAGAATATTAGTCGGACCAACTATATATTTTTTCTGTGTACCTTATTGTAATTCTTATACACAATGTACTTTTTTGTCATCGAATAATTTCTAAATTTGTATGGTATTTTTTTCGGATTTTAAGTCTAATAGCTATAACATAAAATATTTTCTTGATAAATGTTTTCCTACCTTGCGTTGTTAGAAAAAAAATCGCAGCACGATAATTTGTACACAATTTATTTATTAATGTATTTTATATACTGACATTTGTGAATTTAATGATAACCTGTACATTTTTCTTGTATAAACTGCAATAAAATTACCGTGAAGCATGTTTTCTCGGAAATAACTGTATACAGAGTGATTCATTGAGGAAATGAAACTACCTTTCTCAGAAAATTTGAATTTTGTATTTTCACCAATCTGTAGAATATTCCACACAAATTTGAAACTAATTTGACTATTTTTATTAAAGTCATAGAGCATCAGCAGTTTTAAATAGGTAATTATCTAATTTTTGAAGATGCTACACAAAGAAATCGAATCAGCAGTTAAAATAATATTGTGGGTTGAGACGCAAAAATAAAAATAAGAACACATTATTTTAAAATACAATAACTTTTCAGTACTTTAAGTATCAGAAGATGGTTAATAGGTGTATAGTATGTTCGTGAGCAAAGCAACAACCGATTTGTTTGTTTAACTGTCTACAAAGTCCCTAAATAAATTATATTGCAAGTTCTTTTGTAATTTAAATTTAGTTTAATATTTGTGTGTGACACATACATTTCATAATACTTAACTCAATGAATTTGGACTTTGTTGAATAGGGCCCACGCTTTTCTTTTTAGTCAAAAATTAAAGATGTTTAACATTATTTAAAATTGTAGTTAATTTTCGGTTGTTTACAAAGTAATTGACATTTTAAATAAAATGTGCTACAATATATTGGTAAATTGTTCTTGTAATACAATTTTTTTTTACTTTTTAGTTCACTTTTTACTATTATTTTTTCCTGGACAAATATTTGATGTTAATTTTTATGATTTATACGAGCATCGGCAACAGTTTTCCTTAGGATACCGACATTTTATCAACTTTTAATTGGCTTTAATGAGGTTCTATTTAAAATATGGGAATGTTTACGACTCTATAATAATATATTCTTAATAAGCAAAAAATTATTTTTAAAAAAACAATTTAAATACAAAAAATGAGCAAAAAATTTTTTTATAATCGTGATAAAAATTGTTTATTATTAAATACATTCAATTTTTTGTGACGATTTGGAAAATTGTCACTTTAAATGAAGTTATTACTATAATTGCTGGTCCAGATTATTCTAACTCGGATAAAAAAGGCCTAATTTGATCGGGATCGTCGGGATCTCGATCTACTTGCCAAACTGCACCATCAATGATTTTATACACGTGCGTTACCTCGAAATCTTCATTTGTTAGAGTGCATAATACTCCGTTAACATGAGCAGTTTCAATATATAAATCTGGATATTTAATACTTATGAATACTCCCATTAAACGACACATCATGATAAAATCCGAGAAAAGTGGATCGTTTTGACCTTAAAAAAAAAAAAAATTCGAATTCAGCACATTTTCATCACCAATTTTCGTTATTTACAAGACAAAACTTCACACAATAATACACGTGTATAATCGACCGCAGAAAAATATAACAAAACACAGGGTTTCCGTGTTATACAACCGTGTTAATTATATTCATTCTCTTTTTCAAAATAGCGCCATGTTGATAGCAAATTTCTACTCTAGATATAATTAGTCATCTCGTTTTTTTAAAAAAATATTAATTGATTACATAGAATTCACATTACAACCAAAAAAAAATGTATAGGCATTCAAAGAACCATCTCGAAAATATAAAATGTAATCTTAATATTACCAACTCTAAACTGTATGTTAGGAAAAATAATTCAGATATTCATGTTGTGTCAGATCTATACTCCTATTATAAAAAAAAAACTAAGTTCGTGTATTACTGTGAACTACTTTCGTTATCATTTATACTATATATGGATATTTACGTATTAATGATTTTATAGCTTCTAAAGTCATTTCTCTTCTTGCAATTCCCATACAAATCAGGCCTTTATAACAAATAAAAAATTAATTCGTTTTTTTTTAAGATTGAATCGCATTACATTTAAAAGAACTGTAATATTGTAATTTTTTTAGCAACACGCCATTATTATTAAAAGGTACTATATTAATCCGAAAAATTATATTATAAACCCTTATCTCATTTAAAATCAACAAGATAATGTACAATAAGGATATTTTTGAAAAATTAAAATTAGTTGGCTCCTTGATGTATCGTTATGGATTGTCCATTTTGAAACACCTTGAAAATTAATCCTACCAAGTTGGTATGAGGGTAAAAACAAAATTAATTGTAAAAAATTGACATCCAAAAACCGTTAAAACTCAATAACAACACTTACATGCACGGGTGATTCTATGTCTTAGTGCTAGTGAAGTATGACGTCTTCTATGTTCTAAAAGACTGAATAAATTTTCTGGAAAAAAAAAAATGATTAATTTCCGTGTCGATAATAAAAAAAAAAATTTTTTAAAAATTAGTCGCTCGTGTTTGCATTGCAATACATTTTAAATAACTGTAACTCTACCAATTTGTGTACAAGCTGTCATTATGATATACTATTTTGGCACTTCCCTTTTTTTTTAATGTAACCATGAGACACGCAGTCTGAGTTAATTCAAACCTTTTTTTAAACAGTATACTCAGTTTTTCAATTCATTCCTAATACGCCTTGGTAAATACAATTCTAGCAGTCCATACATAGTTAGTCTATATGTCCAACGGCCTGTGCAATAGTTAGCAATACTTACAAAGCAAAATTCATGTACGATTGTGATTACCTAAATTTACTGTTGGTGCATCGATGTCTGTAACCAAAATATGAAATATATATATATTAAATAGTCAATTTAATCAATGCAGGATAATTAAAGAATTTCTAGCAGCCTCGTTTGAAATAACGATGTGGACAATGTTTTAACAATTTTGCAATAAACCTAAAAGGGGTTTCGACTAAATTTTAATCGAATATTTATCATTTTTTTTTTTTTTAGAACCATAATATTATAATAATGAAATTATCATTTGTTTAATTTTGTACTAACGTGCTTCGGCACTGATTTCCGTTTGCATCATTTTCTGGAACTCCAACTTTTCTAATGTTCAAAATAAAACCGATTTGAATGTAAGCCGTTATTTATAATGAAAAAAATCAATATCATAAATATATATGTGTTTACCTTCCATGCCTTCCAAAGGAATAGAGTCTTCACTTAGATTCTCTTAAATTTAAATTTAAATCATTTTGTACTTAATAAATATCAAATAACTATACTTAAAAATATAATCGTATTTTACCAGCGGATGCTTCTATCAACGGATTTTCAATTTCTAAAAATTAAAACATTTCGTTCATAATGATCATCAAACATAACCACAATGGAAAAAAAAAGCATTATATTTTACCATCAGAATCTGAGTGGTCACTTTCTGAAATTAAAAAAAAAAACATTTTGTAAATAGTCAATATCAAATAGTTATGATGAAATACTTTAAAAAAATACTACCTTCTATTAACAATACAGAATAAATTTTCTCTGTAATTATAATAAGTAAAAATCATTATTTCATGACATTGCATTAATTGGTTTAGTTTGATTATGTTGGATTTCACCAGATTTTTTTGATGATATAGTAAGATTTTACAAAAAAATTACTTGTGAAACATTTAAAATTTTTACCAAACAGTAATAATTTGAAGTTTCTTCTTACATTAAGAAGCTAGATTTATGGTGGGGGGAAGGGGGGGGTACCAAAAAACATGTGAAATATTAGCATTAAATGTTAAATGGTCATTATTACCCGGCACCGCCATCATATAAACCATTGGCACTGAAATTAACATAACATAAAAGTATTATTTCATAATTAATATTGGATTCCATTTTTTATCGATGTTTATATTTTATTAGATAATTTTTTATTACCCATCCCATATACATTAGCTTTTTGAACAATATTTTTAATTATTGTCGGCATGCTACCTAGAATAAACAAAAAATGGTTTAAGTAGGGAAAAAAAAATCTATAACAAACTTAATCGATACGTACGGTTTAGTATGAAATAATAGACAAATAATATTAAAAAGAAAAACCTTAACCATAAAAAAAAACACACCAACTATACAGCACCATGTATGAAATTTTTACCTTGTTATACTGCTTGTGTGTTATCTTCGAATCTAATCCTATTATTTCCTTTTGACCTACTTATGTAATATTTATAAAATTCTATTTCCTTTTTTTGGTGCTATATTATATATAATAAAAAATTACCAACTAGCCTAAAAATTACATCTGATTCGTGTCAAATAAATTTAGTTTTAAATTTAATTTTAATTAATAATTAAGATTTCAGAATAACAGCGTACCACATGCTTTAAGTGGTTACCATTTTACTTAACGCTACTCATCTTGTTAGGTTAAAAATAGTCGCTGTATGTAGTCAAGTGAATTTTAATTTAATTATAGATACTGCTTCTTCAACATATATGTTATTATATGTTATTTGATTTGCATAAGTTAGGCATTTCCTTTGTGTTAATAACACAGGTAATACAACCTCATCCATTCTTAATTTGAACATATATTATAGGAACTAAAAATTTTAATTGGAAAATCATTTGGCTAGTTAGCCAAATATACCAAAGACATTTTATAGTATTTTTTTAAATTTAAACAAATTTACTTTCTGCAAGTTTGATGTGATCGTCTGTAATAAATTGTATAAAAATATTAATTTATAACAAACTTTGTTGTATGAAAAAAAGTTTATACGGACTTGTTATGAGAACCTCTTTAACATATTCATCTGTAAAAAAAAGTTAAATATTGATTTTTTTTTATATATATTTCTACTACCTCATGTAGGTACGTGTAAAAATTAAATATTCACCTAATTGAGTGACAAAAACATGTCCAACCAATGCAAATGATATTAAAATACACAAAAGTTTCATTTTTTTATCTGCAAAAATAATAATAAACAATTAATCTTTGTGTATTAGATTCAGTCACCATATAATTATTAGCTTCTACCCAGACTGACAGGGCAGAGGAAGGAACGAGAGCCTTGCTGAGCTACTTAGAGAGGGTCAGTCGTGGCGCTTCGCTCCTCGGACAAGATAACTGTGATGGGTGGAGGTAAATCCTCAAAACTTAGTTACAAAACGTAAAATAAAAAAAAATACCATTACAGTACTAGTTGGGTGCAATATAAATCAATACTAAAGACGTTAGCAAAGTTGGGCCGAAGCAGTTATAAAATCTGAATATGATTTTATCACAATCAAACGCTTTGATGGCAATCTGTAATTAGTAAAAATCCAGCACAGTACATTAACCGGTACAGTCCAAACCTGTACAATTTAAACTAGCACAGTCCGAACCAATACCAAAGTACAATATAGAACAAGTTAGAAAACTGATGTTGGACCAAATACATTTTTAATTCTCAATGTGATTTCATCACAATCAAATCCATCACAAAATATCCACAGACTACTCGCATCGAATCATTTCTTTGAACGTCAATTTATTAGTAACTCTAAATCATTGGTCAAGGAGAACATCATATACGTCTAAACTAGTTCTATTTAATTTAGCATATGATAGAAGTTTCTATAAATAGAGTACCTAATCTGGTGGCTCCTTGATAAGCCAACACAATAAGAGGTTAGTATTATGTAAAAGAACTACTATTTTGGAAATTTTGTCCACCTGTGATTTATTACATCCTACGAATTTCAATATATCAAGTTATACAAGTGCTCAAATAAACGTGGAAAAAAAAATTTGAAGGCAATTATTTTATACATTGAAAATTCTAACACAATATGAGTTTGGTATAATGTAGTGGAACCACTATTTTGTAAATTTGATCATTTTTAAATATAATAAATGTTTTTCATAAGATTTTCGGTTTTAATATATAAGAAGTCTAGCAATTTTTTTTTTCATACTAATGATTAGTGTCGGCATCGTGGGACACATGTATAAACAAGAAACGATTTTTGAAATCAAGGAAAATACCCGATAAATTTTTACATATATTTTAACTTTTAATAATGACTTAGCCATGTGACCCCCCTGTCCAGTATGCCACATTTTCACTGTATAAATTAAAATAAAGACAACGTGTACAAATTGTTGGATCAAAAAAACTTGTAATTCTCATTGTGATTTCATCACAATCAAATCCATCACAAATGGGTACATCACAAACTCGCAACGGAGCATTTTTTTTTTAACGCGATTCTATTAGTACCTCTAAATTATTCGTCGAGAAGTACAGAATAAATTAGTTCTATATAATTTAGCACATATGGCAGAAGTTTCTATAAATAGGTACCTAATTTGGTGGCTCCTTGATAGACTAACGTAGTAAGAGTTATAGTATAATGTAGTAGCACCACTATTTTGTGAATTCGAACGTTTTATAATTATTAAATATTTTTCGCTAGATATTCGGTTTTATTAAACGACGTTGAGAAGACTGGCAATTTTTTTAAAGTTCGTATGTAGAGCACACGTGTTCACTTATTTGTTGTAAGTACGACGGTTTAGTTTGACTGAAGTAGTAAGACACTTGTGTACACAATAAATGATAAACACTCATTTTGCCATCAAACGGATCCAATATTACATTTATGTGTACAATCACAAATGTTGTAAGTTTTAAAACGCACATATAGCCATTAAACAAATATTAAACTAAAAGACAACGTGTACATGATACACATTGCAATCGTTGTACCAAAGTAATTTTTACACGTTATTTCATTAAAAATGTAATATATTTGGTTTTATGGATATTCAATACAGAATAATTTTTTTTTTTAAATATATTAAAATATCTAAGCTAAGTATAAAGTACTACATTACTACGAACAAAATTTTTCTTTATTCACACTAATTTTACAGAGTGATTTTTTTTTTTATCATTAGCCACTCAATATCTCATTCTTCATATTGTTTTTATACAATGTGTCAATTTTTCACCATTTTTTTTTTTGTTTTTACCACCCTCCTAATTTAGTTTATTAACTTTTTAAATCGAAAAAAATGTATTAAACATTTTGACTGGTCGATAACCAGTTTTGGATAACTATTTTTGAATTTATTGAAGTTTCAATTTCAGGGCAGGAGGAAAGTTTATAGTATTATTTTTATCTGCACACGTTTCCAAACCGCACTTCCCCTCACATCCTAACTTTTATAACTTTAAAAATATTTGTTCAAAACTGGTTTTCGAACTGGTTAAAATGTTTAGTACATTATTCTAAGTTTAAAAAGTTAATGAAATATATGCGATAATGTTAGGAGTTAGGAGGGAGTAAAAACAAAAACAAAATATGAAAAATTGAGATCATATTGTATAAAAACAAAAAAAATGAAATTTCTTATTAAACCCTATGAGATTTTGAATGACTATGATAAAAAAATCTGTACCTTGTAAGTATTCTGTTCATGTTATTTTATTTATAATTTATATATTATTTGATTTTATGAATATTCAAAATGGCAGTTAAAAAAAAATGTCAAAATATCTGCGTTGAACTGTTTTTGTATTGTACACCCAAACGAGGATTATTTCAACCTATGATTTATTGTACCTAAAGTTAAATTTTGACTTCAGTGGAACGGAAAGCGCTATTTATTAAAGGGCATAGGATTTGACAAACATTTATCTAGTAACCAATTTAAGTACACCGGCTAATTTTAATGGAAAAATATATTGAGTTTATATACATCCGAATTATGGAGAAAGTTTTATATAAAATGGCTTTCGTAGAAGTAATTTCCCGGCGTATCTGTTGTATGGATTTACATTTTTATTTTGTTTATGAGAAGCTTAGTATTTTCTCTATGGGAGCTAAAAGGCCCATTTTTTTATTTATCCAATAGAAAATTAGTTAAGGTGAAGTGTTTAACTAGACCAAAAGTGAGTTTTAAAAAAGAAGTTTTTAATTTTAGTGTTGTTTTTTTTTATTTTGATTTAGAAAAGCTATAATTTTTTTTTACTATTGTCTCCGTGTAAGAACACACCTCAAACATTGACCTAGTGGTTAAACGTTGTCTCAAGCAAATACAAAATGTATACAATAACAAATAATTAGTAAAACTTAAAAAACATGTACTTACAATGTCAGAAGACGGTTTAAAGGTATATTATAAGTAATAAACTTGAACTATTCGAATACTAATATTCATAAGCAAAACAACAATTTATTTGTTTATTGAATTGTTTTAAAGTGTTTTTTTTGCGCTTTATGGACGGGCTTTTATATCGACCAAAACAGTAAAAATTAAAATTAATTTTCCAAGGCATTTGTCAATTTATTTTAATAGCTGTTTTTGTTTTTAATATGATTGCATATTTACATTACACTGACTATTTTCGTTTAAATCACTATAACATATATCATTTTTTTTTTTAAATTAAAAATTTGAATAAATAAATTAGTCTAGACGGGGAAAAAGGCAGTTGGTTTTAATAATAATTGTTCTTCTCCTTTTTCTTGCTCAAATGGGTTTCTGTTTGTAACACTTTAATGATTTTCCAACCGTCTTTTCTATGAAAGTTTTTTAGGTATTTTTCAGTTTCCATTGAAATTGTTTCTTTAAACATTCCTTTCCGAAGTAATAGCCTCTTTGTACAACCGAGTATAAAATAAATAAATTTTAAATTTGCACATCTTTGGTCAAAAGTGTACTTGCAATCTGTAAAATTCAACGGTTCTACTTACACTTATGAGCTTGTTAAACTTTTTTTAAGTAGGTTGCTTACGAATGGTCGATTGGTCTAAAACAATAAAATCCAAATATATATTCCCCACAGCACACCCCTCGGCTAATATGATGCTACTATTGTAAACGAGTCGACCTAAACTACAAAGTTTTTACCAACCCACTTCCTATCTAAATTATGTTAGTAATGTATTTGTGTTGTTATTTTATATGCCATCATCTATTATTGGTCAGTTTCTTTGTATGTTTTGAATTTTATAGAACGGTTTTATTGTAGTATCTTGTTTTGTTCATAGTTTGTAATTGTTGTTGGTTTTAGTTATACGAATTTTAATTAGTATACATTACCAAAAGTCGATTTGGCGCTAACTATATTATATTTTAATAATACAAATAACAATAACATATTTGATTTGTATTTGTTTCAATATGAATAACATATTTATATTAGTCTGAAGAGGAGTTTAAAAAATTATCTGTTTCTCAGTTAGTGGTTTTAAAATGACTAGGTAAAAAAAGAGATTTATCAAGCTAACCAAGGAGAACGTATACGGTACATATTACTTTATAAATTATATTACTAAACTTTTAATTTTACTCATTATTTAATACATAAATTAAATTATGTATTTTTTAGGAGTAACTTGGTGTGTTAACATTATAAACATTATTGTTATAATATAATATTAATCTTCTTGATATTGCTCTCCTATCGGAGGTTGCAAAATCATCCTGGCTATATGGATCCACCCATGATGATTTTACATTTCTCCAAGTCTAAGCCGTTCCAATGTCATTCATTTTCCGCCTTGGCCTTAAGACATCCAAAACATCTCTGTCCAAGCTAGCACAATCTGAACCAAGCACAGTTTAAAACATAATATTCTTTACAATACTAGGTATACTTATACGACACAGAGAAGACTTTTTTTTTTTTAGCTATGGGACATTTGTGCATACTAAAAATGTATGAGATGTTCTGTATTTTCCTATACTTTCACAGTTACTGTTGTACTTCTATGGGCTAACGTACATTTCTATAGAATGTTCAATAGGGTGGTTCAAGAACATTTTTTTTTGTTTTATTTTGTTCTTCTCTTGAGAATATATTATTTGAGCGAAAAGATAATTTTTGATATTTTTTTTTTTAGATTTTTAAACGCATTCCTAGACGTGGTTCCGGGTCGACTTTAAGTGAGCCACTGAGTGGTCGACATGTGACTAAAACCAATATATTATGGCAGGAGACACATAATTTAATATAAAATAATTCTAAGGACACCAACGAATTGAGATTTAAACTCTAACCCAAAATGATGTGTCATCTGTTGGTTTTGGTCACATGATGGCCACCCTGTGGGCGTATGTGTGGCCAGATACCAAAAAATCATGTTACATATCAATTCAACAAGATTTTTTCGTCTGATTTCAAATTTGAAATTATCTTTTTCGTAAGACAATTTTTTAATGAGAAACGAGTTCTATTTTAAATAATTTTTAAATTAAAAAAAAAAATTAATACCATTTATTGTACCCAAAGAGCATCCTGATTGTCTCATTTAAAGCTCGGTAGAACTTTACATTACACCCTATATGTAACATGATACAATTTGAATTCTTTTTTTTTTATTTTTTACTTGAAATATTAGGCTTTTATGGGCTGAAAATAAGTCTGTTATAGATCTATCATATACCAAAAACATGTGTAAAACAATAAAACATTTTTAGATTACATTTTTATTTTAAATTGAAAAACCCAAGTGCCAGTTGCTGCGCATAAAGCGGATTTGAGTTGGTTTTTTTTAAGTTTTAAATAAAGGTTTTTAAGGGCTTGAAATAAGTCTGTAATAGGTCTAACATGTTTAAAACAACAAATAACAATCTTTAGACGACATTTTTTTTTTAACAAGTCCAAAAAGGTGTGTTGCAACGCATAAAAGGGGAATTTAGGTTTTTAGTTTTTTTTTATTTTTTACTTGAAATATTAGGTTTTAAGAGCTTAAATTCAGTTTGTTATAGATCTATCATACACCAAAAACATATTATGTAAAATAAAAATTAAATTTTAAATTAAAAGACCAAAAAAGTGAGTTACAACGCATAAGAGAGATTTAAGTGTAATGGTTTTTATTTAAACATTTTAGGTTTTAAGGGCTGTGAATAAGTCTGAAGATAGATCTAGCATTTACCTACCTATAACACGTGTATAACAAACGAAAAAATCTTTATATAACATTTTTTATAAACGAAAAAATGTAATTTACATTAAAGTGTTATTATTATTAAGTGCTATCTCGGTGGCGAATCGCTTAGACCTAATCAACCAACTGTTATTACACCCTGGATGGTTTGAGTTAGGACCAAGGGAACATAACGTGTACCTTATTGAGCGTGGGATGAACACGATTTATAATAATTATGATCTATTTTGATCTAAAATATTCACTTTGTTGTACACTTTAGTAAGACATAATGCTGATAGTGTATTTTCAGTCATCGTTGAACAAAGTATTTGATACTTTAAAAAAAAATGTGCAACCATTGATCGGTAAATTGTTCTTGTAGAAAAATCATTTTTTACTTTTTAGTTCATTTATTACTATTTTTTTTTTTTGAAAAGCATGTTTTTAAAAAAAGTTTTTTTTTTTTGGACCTGTAAAGGACAACATGCTAAGTGGTGAGTGGAAGATAAGGAAAAACGATAAACTATAGAAACGCTCTTCCGTAACCTAACCGGTATACTGGAAACGGTAAGGAACAATAGATTACAACAACGGGCTGGGCCTTTTTTTAAATTAAATTATAAACCTAACAAACGTTTACTGAAGAAACACAAACCATCAGTACGTTGAAATATATCTACAGAGTAAAATAATAGTATTTTATATTATTGTAAACATTTAGCAATTCGCCGACAAGTAGACCGAGAGCTATCCATAACTGTACGACATATAAATTAAACACAAAAAAATAACAATCGATTAAACAACACAGACCGACACAAGGTTATTTCGGATCCTTGACTACCACGTGAGAATGTAGTTTTGCCGATGCGTACGCTAACAGGGTGTGAGCCACTTGTTGCGTTTCCAAGTATTCTCGCGTCTCCATCATCCAGTCGTCGGCTATTGCTTTCGGGCCGCCTTTCAACAGATTCATGTAGCGCAACGCTTGGTGGAAGTCGTCTCGTTCCACCCAATACCTAAATTCACACAAACACGACACGGTTAAAACAAACGCAACGTAGACACGGTAACGGTAATACGCAATCGTCTTGCCTGGCACGCTGGAGGACATCCGTGTTGTTCAGTTTGTTGACGTCAATCGGAGAGTTGGCCAACTCGTCATCCGGTATCGGAACCGGCGTTCTAATAATGAACAAGCTAAACACGAACGACGTTAACAAATCCAACAGCTTAACGTCTTTGTCGGGAACTAGAGCCATGTGAAACGCTTTGTCTTCGAGGTTGAAAAATCTGTCCTTGAGCGTTTCTTCGGTGTACACGCCACGCGTCAATACTTTTTCGGGAATGGTCTGAAGCAATTCGTTTATTACCTTGTGATTTTCTGAAAAACAACAAAATTAGTGCCTAATCATTGAATCCTATTTCCGCTATCAAATAGAACGAATAGATTTTAAACCTCCGGAACAATTACTAAAATTCCACTTACGTCCCGCTGCTTTTATATCGTTTACATGTTGCAAGAGTGGTTTTAATTGGTTTTTCGGCACATTTTCTTCGGCGGTCAATGCTGTAAACAACGACTTACAGGCCGTCCACAACGAAACCGATTCGTTTAGCTTTTCTTCTTTTTTCGAATGGTCTGGAAAAAAATAATTACAACTCGACAGATGAGAGAGTTTGTTACTTTTGAAAATAAACAAAGCCGCGACGTACCTTTCAGGGCGTCGTCAATAGCCTGCATAACCGTAGTCATGACTACAACTTGTTGCTGATAATTAAGCCTTTCGGCTTCGGCTTTTTCCGAGTACTCCAAACGCACACGACGATCCACTTCTCTTGCCGCCAAGTTTGCTGCTTCGGCCAAATGATCCATGTGCACTTCGGACTGCAGTTTTAACTGTTGTTTCAGTTTCGACTCGATTTCGGCAGTCAGCTCGAAACTCTGTAATGAAAAATATTTCGGTACAATATTATCGGTCACTAATTATAACAAAAACACAATTAAACGTGTCTTTCTAACGTCTTTAATGTAATTCTCCAAAAGTTTTCTACGATTTTTCTGCACTTTGACGTCCACGATATCGTTGATTGCTTCCGCTTCTTCTTTCATCAGTCCGTCGACGGCATTTTTCACTTTGTCGTCGATGACGGTCTAGAAATTTTACAACAATCAATGGATTTTCTCAATGGGAGTGTTTTCATCGAAAAACTTACTTCTTCTTTGAATAATTCTCTTTGATAAAACAACAACTTTTCAGTGATATACTTGATAAATATTTCATATTCCGTATTTGATAATTTCATGTCCTTATCGCTGAGTCTCATATGTGGAAACATTGCTTCTAGTTCATCCTATTAAAAAAAAAAACACCCCCAATTTAATGCTGTTGTAAATAAATAATACCCACAGAGAAATAATGTCAAAATTTAATAGAAATATTATTATTTATTCTATATATTTACTCACTGCGAAATGTCTTCTGATATTAATGATTTGGTCGCGATATCTTCTAAAAAGCATTAGGCTGTCTCGTTCGGTTTCAAAATCTTTTGCCAATTGTTTTATACCAACTTTCTGTTGTACGATTAATTTGTATAACCTTTCTTTGACGTCTTTGGATATTTTCATATTTTCAGAATCGTTCAATAGTATCTGCAACTTGTCCAAGTGCTTGCTAACGAAAACAACATAATAATAATGAGCGTTACGTTACGCGGTAGTAATCATTAAATGTGATTTAAAAAGATTCATCCGATTTGAACTAGAAGTATTTTTTTTATACAAACACAATTTACACCCAAGCCTAATGTCGTATTACGATTACCATCGAAACTCACTTAGCTTCACGTGAATTGTCTTTGGCCACACGATAGAGTTTGTCTTTTTCCGTGCTAACTTCTTTCAACGTTTCCCACGCTCTGACGTTGGACTGATTGACGGATTTGTTTATGACGTTATTTGCCAATTCATAATATTCTAAGATGAAAAAAAAATTCTTTAGATTACGATTTTGTAACAACAATTAAAATTTCATTATCACCTTTTAGTGCATTTAATGCGTCCGAATAGGATTCCGAAACTTCATTCAACAAAAATATTGCTTCGTCTTCAATTGCTTTTGCGTCCGATGGTGGTTTTCTATTTGTACTCGATAAGACTTTTTTTTCGGTTTTCTGCTGTTTGACTGGGAAACAGAATTAAACTAGGTTGTAATTCTATTACACGTGAATATATTGTAAAAAAAATAGATAAATAAACAGAACCGAAACTAACTTGAAGGTTTTTCATTCTTCTCTTGTGGTTTTGGTGTGTCATTTTGTAGAGGTGCCGCATTTAATTTTTCAACAATCTCATTAGAAGATTTTTCAGGTTTAATAAACCTAAAACCAATTATCAGTTAAATATTAAACATACAACTCATTAATAGTATCCGTCAACTTCTCGTTATTAAAATGATTGAAAAACTGTACGAGTTAATTAAAACAAATTAAATACTTGTCGCATTACATAAAACATTACATACAGAAAACCATATTTTAATCAGGTAGAACCCATTGGATAACACTTACATTTTTTTTACGTTATCGATCAGCCTGTTCGGATAATTTCCAAAAGATTTTTCTTCAAACAGAATTAATTTCAACAGTTCATCTGAACCGGAAACGTTGTTTTTGAGCCATTGTCTAAAATTGTTGTCGTACTTGGCATATACCACCACCGCACTGAAGCCAAATAACAACGAGCCGATGGTGTATTTTCCGACATTTGATTTTCTGGAAACAAATCTTATTAAATAAATAAATCTCGTTGTACACACACAACATACAACGTACCTTTGCTTAGCCACATTCTCATGAATGAATCTGCGACCCAACGACTTGTTACACGTCAAACTCGATTGCCTTAGATTGAACTTAGCTCCGGGGGAAACCTTGAAAAATTATCATAAGTTTAATTTCAACAAGTTGCCGGGTGGTAAACTAAAAATGTTTATATTATCGTCTAAAAATATTTTTACTTACTTTGGCGAATTGTTTTAAATTCAACATTTTCACGAATACAGTTTTCGATGTTGCACCACTCGGGTAGTTAGTTTAATGTCTAAAGTGTATCGATCAATTACCGAATAGGTAATAATAATAATAATAATTAACAATAGTAAGTGGCTAATTAAAAGAAAAAAAACAAATAATATTTTTGTACATTACCCTTTCGTTGGTTTTCAAAGTTGAAGTTGCTTATCTATTGTGATAACGGTCGACGTGATAACGCGAACGGGAATAAAACCAAAGAGATCGTATAAAAAATAAAAGTTGGCAAACCTGACGAGGAAAACATTGTCGATCGCGCGCCAAACATGGTAGCACTGCTTATCAATGATGGAAAAAAATAAATTGTAAACAAACATAATAATATTATTTATTTAGTAGTTTACCGACTTTTTAAATATATATTATATTAAAACCGATGGTTCGTTCGAGAAGATATCACTATAAAAACAATAATTCCTCTACACCGGTATTCCTTGAACAATGTACATAGTTATGTTCGAATCAGGTACGTTTTTTGCCAATTCGTTTCGACCGTTATCTAAAGCAAACTCTAATGTGTGTGTTGAAATTTTTAGGTAGCCAAAATGTGAACAAAGGATCAACAACAATAATTAATAACACTATGATGATGGTGACGGTCCATCCGATAAACTTGCAAGAACACGAGTATGGCACACGGTCCTTTATATAGAATATTATTGTTGCCAAGACAACGTTGAGAAAAAACCCCCCAAACAAACATGTTTATCAAACAAGTCATCATCCACGGCTTCAAAAGTTACCGCGAACAAACCGTAGTCGATCCGTTCGACAGAAGACACAACGTGGTCGTCGGACGTAACGGTTCTGGCAAAAGCAATTTTTTCTACGCCATTCAATTCGTGCTCAGCGACGAATTCTCTCACCTGAAACCCGAACAGAGACAGGCGCTGCTGCACGAGGGCACCGGTCCGAAAGTGAACTCGGCGTATGTCGAGATCATTTTCGACAACACGGACAACCGTTTGCCCATCGACAAAGAAGAGGTGGTCTTGCGAAGAGTGATCGGCGTCAAAAAAGACCAATACTTCTTGAACAAGAAAATGGTGCCCAGAAGCGACGTCACCAATCTGCTGGAGTCCGCCGGCTTTTCCCATTCGAATCCCTATTACATTGTGAAACAAGGGAAAATCAACCAAATGGCCACGTCGCCCGACTCTCACAGGCTGAAGTTGTTAAGAGAAGTGGCCGGCACCCGCGTGTACGACGAGCGAAAAGAAGAATCCATCGAAATACTGAAAGACACTCAGACAAAGTTGGACAAAATAGTGGAGTTCATAAAAACCATCGAAGACAGGTTGAGCACGTTAGAGGAAGAAAAAGAAGAACTAAAAGAATATCAAATATGGGATAAAAAACGAAGAACGTTGGAGTACTGTATTCACGACAGAGAATTGAAAGAAACCCAGAGGAAGCTAGAAGAAATGGAAAGTCGTATCACCAACGTGGACGTAGAACAAAAACGATTAACCGCTAAAGTCAAAGAAGCCGCGCATGAGGCGAAAAAATCAGCGAAACACCTGCGCGAAGCCAAACGACAAGTGATTAGCGTTAAAGAAGACAAGGACACTTTAAATCTGGAACAACAAGAGTTGATTAAACAAAAAACAAAACTAGATTTCACCATTAAAGATTTAACCGACGAAGTGCAAGGCGACAACAATTCCAGAGAGAGAGCTGTCAAGGAACTGGAAAAGCTACAGGAAACTATCAAGGCCAAAGAATCCGAGTTGCAGGAAATAAAACCCAAGTACGAAGCGCAAAAGAAAAAAGAAGAAGATTGTACAAGGGAACTGGGCCTGAAAGAACAAAAGCGAAAAGAACTGTACGCCAAACAAGGTCGCGGAAGTCAGTTTTCGTCGAAAGAAGATCGAGACCAGTGGATACAAAAGGAACTGAAATCGCTGACCAAACAAATAAAGGACAAGACCGATCATAAAGAAAAACTCACCGAGGACTTGAAAAAAGACTCGGAACGGCTGGTGGAACTGGAAAATTTAGTGCACACCAATTCGAGCGAATTGGAAAAACAGAGGACTTCTATAGACGAGTACAACAAAAAGTACTACGAGTTGAAAAAAAACAAAGACCAATACCAAAGCCAACGCAACGAACTGTGGCGACAGGAGAGTACGATTCAACATACGTTTTCGACGTTAAAAGATGAACTAGCCAAAGCCGATCAGATGCTGCGCAGTATGGCGGGTAAAGCCATTTTGAACGGCAGAGATAGCGTTCGCAAAGTGTTGGAAATTTTCAAACAACGCGGCGGCACTCAAGCCAATCTCGCCAAGCAGTATTACGGTCAAGTAATTGAAAATTTCGACTGCGATGAGAGCATACAGACAGCCGTTGAAGTGACCGCCGGCGGCAGAATGTTTTTCCACATTGTGGATTCGGACAAGATCGGTACGCAAATATTGAAAGAGATTAACAATCAGAATCTGCCGGGTGAAGTGACGTTCATGCCGCTCAACAGATTAACTGCTCGACACATAAAATATCCACAATCCAAAGACGCCATACCGATGGTGAGCAAGTTGAACTACGAAGCGCATTTGGACAAAGCGATGCGTTTTATTTTCGGCAAAACTTTGATATGTCGTAACTTGGAGTCGGCCACCAGCATATCCAAGCAGAGCATGTTGGATTGCATAACAATCGACGGCGATCAGGTGTCGTCCAGCGGCACTTTGACCGGTGGATATTTCAAAAACGTACGGTCCAAGTTACAAATACAAAAGCAGCGCAACGATTTGATGAGCCAAATTAAAGAGTCCGAAGAACAGTTGACCGGGCTGCGGACAAAATTAAACGAAATCGAGGTCAACGTCAATGCGGTCATGTCGGACATGCAAAAAACGGAAACCAAAAACAGCAAGGCCAAGGGGAATTTCGACAAGCTCAAAGGCGACATTAGACTGATCAAAGAAGAAATGGTCGGCATCGAGAGGTACAGAGTGACGAAAGAACGATTACTGGTAACGGCCTCTTCAAATTTAGAAGCCATGCAGACGACTAGGTCCGGTTTGGAATCTGAACTGCATCAAGAACTCATGGCGCAACTGTCGGTGGCCGATCAAAAGGAAATGGACAAGTTGAACAACGACATTAAACAATTGACTCAAGACAACAAAACCGCTTTTGCCATGCGCATGAAACTGGAAGCGGACAAGAACAAATTGGAAAACTTGTTAACAAACAATTTGGTCCGTCGCAGGGATGAACTGTTGCAGGCGTTACAAGAGATTTCGGTGGAAGAACGCAAACGTACACTGGAAAGTAGCAGGATAGAGTTGAATGTCATCGAGAAGAAATTGGACACGATCAATGTGGAAATGAAAACCGTCGATTCCAAAGTGCACGAGGCCGTCAAGTGGCAGAAAAAATGTCAAGAGGAACTGGACAAATGGAAGTCGCAGGAAAAAGAAGCTCAAGAGAAACTCGACAACGAGTCCAAAGATCTTTGCAAAGTGTCTTCCAAACAAGACGTGCTGCGCAAAAAGCTGGACGAGTCCGAAGCCAAGATCAACGAGCTCGGAGCGTTGCCCAACACCGATCTTGTCACAAAGTACATGTCTTACTCGTCGAAAAATTTGTTCAAAGAACTGGAAAAGGCCAACAGTCATCTGAAGAAATTCGCTCACGTCAACAAGAAAGCCCTGGATCAGTTTATCAATTTCTCCGAACAAAAAGAAAAACTGGTATCGAGAAAACAAGAACTGGACCGCGGCTATCAGAAAATCGAAGAGCTTATGAACGTGCTGGAGCAACGGAAATGCGACGCCATACAGTCGACGTTCAAGCAAGTGTCCAAATATTTCTCTTATGTTTTCTCGAAACTCGTGCCGGCCGGTCACGCCAAACTGGTCATGAAAACCGTCGGCGGCGAAGAGTCCACGACGATCAACATGAAAGACGAGACGAGCGTGGGCAACTATTCCGGCGTGATGATCAAAGTGTCGTTTGTCGGGCAAGGCGGCGAAATGCGCGAGATGAACCAGCTGTCCGGCGGCCAAAAGTCGTTGGTGGCGTTGGCCACCATATTCGCCATCCAAAAATGTGATCCCGCCCCGTTCTATCTGTTCGACGAAATCGACCAAGCGCTGGATCCGCAGCACAGAAAAGCCGTGGCCGACATGATCCACGAAATGTCCGGCGAGGCTCAGTTCATTACGACCACGTTCCGGCCGGAGCTGTTGCAGCACGCTCACAAATTCTACGGCGTCAAGTTTCGCAACAAAGTCAGCCACGTCGAATGCGTCACCAGGGAAGAAGCGCACGACTTTGTCGAAGACGATACGACACACGGATAACGTATTACACACTCATCGACAATTATTTTATTAACCAGTTTTTCTTTTAGGATATTAACTAATTTTACTCGTTTTTTTTGGATTTAGATACTATTGAAACGTACCTAACACTACAATGTACAGGATTTCTGTATTTTTTTTTTAGTAAATATTCACCGATATTATTGATATAGTTTAGCATATAGAACAATTACACTAATGCATATATATATATATATAGTTTATAGATTTACGTGTTATATTTTAGGTATGTTTTTATGTATACAATCTTATGTTGTATCCGATTTTGTATTAGTTAATTTAATCTACGTAACGTCATCAGCTCGATATTATCGTGTACTATATATTGTATGATTTTACGAATTTTAAATTAACGATAATTTGCTTCGAGATAAAAGTGTTTTAAAATTTAAGTGATTTTTAATACTTTAATATTCTTTAATAGTGAACGTATTGTGTTGTACCATGTTGCAAAACATGAGAACGGCGGATCAAACATTATATTACATATTTATAATAATATTGTTTCGAGTTTTGAACAAATTATTAATTTTGTTTTTTATTATTATTATTATTCGTATCATTGTAACACTAGTATTATTAATATAATTTATTTTTGATTGCCAAATAGAAATCGAGTTTAGTCGTGTAAAATTGTATTATTTAATTAATTAATATTAATATAATGTACCTATCTTATTATGTTTATTATTATTATACATAAGTAAACGACATGAAAGTTATTCTGCTTTTTTAAATGTTTTTCGTTCTTATACAAAATCCTTATGTTGTTCTTGAGGCGGCAGCTGTTGTGCATCAACGTATTTCTTATATGGGCCTAAATATGTTATTTGTAAATCATTAACACCGTGTGTGGCTTTGAAAACACAGTAATACAACACCAATAATATAATATTGGTTTAAATTAAAACTTACACATTTCACAAATTCAGTACCCAATTTCAAACAAATTGTCATTTGCAATTAGAATATAATATAGCCAACGGTAAAATAATTTAAGACTACGATAAGTAAAAAAACAAATAAATACAGAACACTTTGATTTTAGCGAAATTGGAAGTAGGATGATGATAATAATAAAAAAATAACAGTTCAAATTATAGGTTTTATTAAAAATATATATTATAAGTAAAATAAAGCCTTAATGGCTTTGGTTCTCACATATGTAATTTAAATATGTTATGAAAATTGGAAAGTAATATTCATTCACTTAACTTAAATGAAAAAAAAATCAGTTTTAATACATTTGACTTTTAAAAAAACAGGTAATTTCTAATCTAACGTTATAATTATTATTGTAATATACTTAAAATTAATTAATCGCTAGCGCGTCCATTTCTTGAGTGAACTGAGTTTGAAGGTTCGACAATTTGTTCTTCAACGCCGCCACTCCCATCAACACTATGTTCTCCGGTTTCAATGATCCGCAACTTTCTACGTTGAAGAAAAACTTATTGGGTTTGGCACGCCAATTGTACGCACCCTCGTGTTGGTCTTCTGTCAGTTCGGAGTACTCGCTCTTCGGCCACTCGTCCGGTTTTGGGAACAGCGTGTGCCTCATCGTGTTGTCGGGATCGTACTCGAAGCTGACGCCGGTCGTCGGGTTCCACTTGGCGTGCTCCTTGCCAAACCCTTTCTTGGCGAACGCTCGGATTTTCAACTCTTGGCCCTTGCGCAGCTTGATGATGAGAATATCGTCCTTCTCGCCGTACTCGTTGATGTCGCTGTCCTGGTTCCTGGACGTGACGGGCACCACGCGCGGGTTGCTGCTGACCAAGTCGGCTGTGGTCACGTGCCTGGTCTGCTCTTCGGAACACTTGACGTTCAGGTTGAACTCCACGCTGCATTCGTGACAAAAGTCTGAGCACGTACAATCCCTGGAATACTGCAGCCGGTCGACCACCTCGTCGGACGTCAACGGTATGAGGCCGATGCGAGAAGCGATGAACTCGTCGCTCAACACGGTCGAGTTGGAGTCCAGTTGGACCCAGTCGATGGCCAACGTTGGCGTTTCAGCGTTGAACACCCTACGCAAGCTGTTGGCAACGCTCAGGTCGGTGTCTTCGATTTGGAACTTGATCGAATCGGTCGTCAACTCGGATATGTGCACCGACGGCTGATTGGCGTAAGGCATGATTTTTTTAGTGGAAAAAAATCACCAATAATTCGATTCACTACTTTTCCAAAAAAAACCGTTTTTGCCAAAAAACACCTTTAGGAAAACAACGTATTTCTCAAAAAACACAAACGATTACTGGCCGATATTATACTTATACACGTTATCACATTGTTCAACAACAAACGCGCACCGGCGGTAACCACTTTGCAAAATAAAAAAACCATAGGTAAGTCATCCGCCGTATGGACGATGGCCGGCGTTGCCGAGCGGCCGTGTATCTCTTACGGGGGAGAACGCCGGCGGCCATTTTGAGAAAATCGAAAACGCGAGTCGCCGACATACCCGCAGTGGTGGTGGTAACCGCCGCGGTTAAACAATAAAACGGTTACTCGCCGTTTAGCCGTGATAATGGTAGCAACAAACTTTTATCATCTGATAAGTGATAACGCGTGATAATAGATAAAACAACGACTGGTGCCATGTGTTTGTTATTGATGTGAAATTTGTTTTCCCAAGTACCTGCATTTGCATCTTGGTTCAAACTCGATTAAAAAACTTAGTTGTTAATCCGTGCCTTACTCGCAGGTGCCATGGGTAAACTAAACGTGTCTATGCTTCGTTATTTAACGCGGGAAGACTTCCGCGTCTTGACGGCTGTACGTACAGAAACCACAATTATTTAAAATAATAACTATATATTTTTGTATCGGTGCGGGTGTAATAATAATTGAACAAATGTTTACAGATTGAAATGGGCATGAAGAACCACGAGCTCGTGCCGGGTTCGTTGGCCGCTTCGATTGCAAATTTACACCACGGCGGCGTTCATAAAATCTTAAAAGAACTTTGCAAACATAGACTGTTGTCGTACGAGAGAGGCAAACATTGTAAGACTGACTAAGTTTATTTCCAATTTGACTTACTATCGACATGTTTGACTCGTATGCATATTTTTTTAGACGACGGTTATAGATTGACCAATACCGGTTACGATTACTTGGCGCTCAAAACTCTTTCTTCTCGTCAAATACTATCGTCGTTTGGCAATCAAATCGGCGTCGGAAAAGAATCAAACATATACGTTGTCGCTGATGCTGACGATAAACCCGTTTGTCTAAAACTGCACAGGTACTTTAAAATATTCTTAAAACTCATAACACATTGTTTAACAAATTTCGTATAATTTTGATTAGATTGGGAAGAACGTGTTTTCGAAATTTGAAAGAAAAAAGAGATTATCATGCTCACCGTCACAAGGTCGGCTGGCTGTATTTGTCGAGAATTTCGGCTACTAAAGAGTTTGCCTATATGACGGCATTAGCTAAAAGAGATTTTCCTGTCCCTAAGCCCATCGAAGTTAATCGACACTGTGTAGTCATGGAGTTGGTCAACGGATATCCCTTGTGAGTATAAAATATAATAATTTGTCGATTTATTATTTTACGTTTAAAGCGCATTGCCCAAACAGTTCAACCGCAATCAAAAAATTTGTATAATATTTAGTGTTGCCTGATTACCTTTCTTGAGCTTTTGACAATTTTTTATTTATTACACAGATGTCGACTTTATGAAGTCGACGATGTTGAAAATCTATACGACGAACTGATGAATTTGATAGTACGCCTCGGTCAACACGGAGTTATACACGGAGACTTTAACGAATTCAATATCATGATAAACGACGAACAAAAGCCAATCATTATTGATTTTCCACAAATGATGTCCGTTTCTCATCCTAATGCACAAACGTAAGCATTTCGAGCAACGTTTGACATTTTAATCGAACAAGTATAATATAAGGTTTTCCTTTTTATTTTTTCCCAAAGGTATTTCGAACGAGACGTTAACTGTGTGAAAGGATTTTTCAAAAAAAGATTCAACTATGAAAGTCATTTGTTTCCGACGTTTGAAGACGTCTCGTAAGTTTGACATTTTTTATTATAAAACATTTTTTTTTTTATTATTACAATTATTGTATTCTATATAATGTGTTTAGTGTTAGAGAAGAGTTTATAGACGTCGAGGTGTCGGCTAGTGGTTTTACAAAAAACATGGATCAGCTACTTCTAAACGAAATGGGCCTCGTCGACGATATCGAAGACGAAGAAGAAGAAAACGATACTTACGAAAACGAGAAAGACGAAATTGAACATTTGGCCGAACAAGTGGCGGAACTAATGAAAGAAGAAGAATTGTTGGCCGCCATTAAAACCACCAATGTGATATCACCGGTGGAAAAACAACTGGACGTGCCCAAGTCGGACGATTCCGAAGAATACGTATCCCTTAGCGACAACGACGATTGTGAAAGCGTCGCTTCTTCCAAAGTATGCTATTCCGATATCCACAGCGTCCGTAGTGTGACGACGTCAACTACGATACCGCCAGAAGTAATCCGAGACAGAATGAAAAAGTCGTTGGAAAAGAGAAACAGGGCTGCCGCACGGCACAGATGTTTAGCCAAAGGCGAAGCCAGCGCTGTCGCCCGCCAAAGGAGAGACAACCGAGACACTATTAAAGACAGTTCTGGAATTTGGGGTTAAACGAAAACGATAGCAATGTTATTGAAATATTTTTGTTTTTAAGTATATAGCTAATATAAAATATGTATTAAGTCTTATTCGGTGGTTTTGAATTTTCAAAGCGTTGCGGTGAACGTTGTCGAAGCTTCGACAGCCTTTCACTTACTATTAGTATGAAATATAATAGTCTAGGTCTAATATGGGTTTTAAATGTGTTATATGGGCAAAGTATGAGCGGTTGCCAACCTTATAACTATTCCTTGTATTTTTTCCCACACCTTCAAAGCTGTATTCGCCTATTGTAATTATTATTGTACAACGTGGGTAATGGTAATTTCAAGGTTATCATGCTGTTCGAGGCCAGCAGAATATTGATCCGCCTGAACTTAGTATGCAATACTGAATACCTATAGGCTATATGGTATACTGTAACTGGCAACTGTCACTTGCTGCTGCTCCTTGCACAACATAAATGATATTGTATACATTATTATGGATCATTGTGCAAGTCGCGGCCCTGAAATTCGCTTGGCACGGCTCGCAGAGGTCCCAAGAAAGAAATTTAGGCGGCAAAAATGGCCTATCGAAAAATGGGTTAAAAAAACAAATCAATTTTTTTCTTTCAGCATCTCTTCATTAGTTCATATTATAATAATATGTTTACAATTGTAAAAAAATATATACAATTTCAACTCGAATCTCTTAGTAGAATAAATTGAAATTAGACCATTATATGAAGTCCACGTCATGTCTGTCTTTTTGATCTAAAATTAGCCAAAATGTGACTTAATATGTGAAAAATAACAACTTAAAAATTATATACAAATTGACCGGAAAACTAATTAACATGGTCAGAATTTATTAACACCGCAATTTCCTTAAATATTGCCTATACAAAACTCCTTAAAAACAAACAGCACGCAAGCCGTAAATATCTAATTGGAACTTTCACCAACCAATTATTGTAATTTATTTTTAAAATTGAAAATATCATTTCATTTTTTATACTAACTCGAGATCAAAGTTTCAAGACATTTTTTTTTTCATTCCGACACATACGGCATACCGACTTTTTATGGACAATTTTTTTTTGCCTGATATATAAGTAACTTAAAAGTTTGACATTTAGCACTAAAAAGTGTGTATAATTGAGAGCGTGAAGGAAAAATTGTTAAATTTGTACAACACTTACTTGTAAATTTAGGCTAAGGGACTTGTAGCTCTAAAAAATACACAAATATGCCATTAAAAATCAACAAAAAAAGCATTAAACAATTTGACCATTAAATCTTGATTGATTTTATTTTTAATTATAAAAAAAAAATGCATAACTTTGCAACTTAAAGAAAACAACTGTTAAAAACCCTAATAAAAAAAAAATGTTCTCTTTTAATTTTTCTTCAAAATTACATCATTGAATCTGAGTCATTCTGAGTTTCTTGAAAATTGCAATGTACGATTAGATACTTTTTTATATTTTCAAAATAGGTAAATCTTCGAGGATTACTTATTCTTATAGTTTTAGCTTCGATGCGAAGCTGAGAAGGTATTGTTTTTACAATTATGTGTTTTTATTTATTTTTTTTTGTGTCTGGACCCACGATATCTCGTTAACCGCTGAACCAATTTCTTCGTGTAGCAACTCTATAGATCAGAAATCATACCTGGAAGGTACTATATCGGCCAAAAATTAAAAAAAATCACCCCTTCCCCATCAAAATCGAGAAAAACACCTAAAAAATGTACAAATTTATATGAATTGTTCTTCAAACATAGTACTATCGATAAACATGAACAAACCAAAAAAATATCATAAACCCTTTCCCTTAGAAGGGATAGAATTTTTTTCTTTATTTCACTTTTTCAAGCAGTTTTAGAGATTTAGATCTGAAAATTAGACCAAAGGTAGATCTAAAATGGAACTATAACATATACAACTTTCGCAAAAATCTGTAGTAAAATTTTTTTTTTTTAAGGAAAAACCCCAAAAATAGGGTAAATTTACACTTTGACCATAGTCAGTTTCTAGGTTGCTATGAGCGAGTGAATCAACAGTCGACAGGTAATGAAAATATTTTCATTATATTGTTAATTACGATATATATGGGTATTTATGACAGTAAATTTTTATAGACAAACGATCAACCCTTATCGTATCCATCCTGCACAAGACTAAATATTACATTTTAAGTACATTATTGCTGGTCCCTAGACATCTTCTAAACCGCTATAACTGGTTTGAACATACTATTCACAGATATTTTTTCTTTTTTATTATTGAAAATACTAACATTCATCAAAAACCTCAAATATATATGCCAAATAAACGTAGAAATAGCAATATATATATATATATATATATATATCCCAACATAAGAAAATCCTCAGAACATGCATAATAATATTACATAATATATAACCTCATTGTGTACCTACTCTGAAACGTATTTACCTATTGCTCTTCTATGTTTTATAATGTCCAGTATACGTCATATAATATGCAAATACTATAAGTCCCTAAGCTTACTCAAAGAAACATATTTTTACTAGGAATCTTTTTTTTTCGCAATAACACCTAATATACATGTTAATAAAAAATTTGTATTTATTCCATTTTGTTTGTATTATAGAATAAGTAATCTAGCAAAAAAAAAAAAAAAAATAGAATTTTCAATATTTTGAATTATTTCGGTTCGTTGTAAGCTGGCTTTATACACTAATCTTGTACCATGTGGCATCACATGGACTCTCCTCAGTTCAAAATAAGTAGTGTCATTTAAACTGTACTGAAAACAGTAATTGTTTAATGCTGCGGTGGTGTAAAAAAAAAAAAGGTTTCATCACATTGATATGTGATGAAACCTTTTTTTTTTTTTTTTAATCCGAGTAGTTTTCTACACTAATATATATAGGACATTACCTATATGTGTTTCATCATTTTCTGCTGGACGTTTTACTGTTCAAGTAACTTGCTCACGTTTAGTTTGACCCAAAGTGTCAATGCAACGGTGTCTTAGCCTTGTCTTTTAAACGCCAAAGTTTCCTATATTTTGTCTTTGAACCAATACATCCTCTTTACGTTGCTCGCACACCTGCAAAGATGTTATATGCTAAAACACTTTTTTGAGCAATTTTTTAATTAATTCTACTCGTACACCAACTTGTATGTCACTCATAGGTGCCGTTGTTAAATATGCAAAAAAATATTATTTGTATTTAATATAATAATTACGAATTATTAATTTTAATATGTTTCTTTTAAACATAATATAAAATGTCAAGGTCACATTGTGTGTACCTGAACGTTTCTTATTGCTATTTAAAGAGCAGAGTTATATTACGTTTTAAGGAACATATTAAAATTCATAATTGTTTTGCATATTTAATAATGGCACTTATGAGGAGCGGATGTCGACTATTTACATATTGTACAAGATTGAAAAATGTGTTAAAAAGCATTTCTAGATTTTATTTGCCTGGAAAATTGTAAAAAAAATAACACACTTGTACTTGATTAGATACTTTTTTATATTTTCAAAATATGTAAATCTTCGAGGATTACTTTTTCTTATAGTTTTTTTTCTTTTTTATTATTGAAAATACTAACATTCATCAAAAACCTCAAAGATATATGCCAAATAAACGAAGAAATATCAATTTATATATATATATATATATATCCTAACATGATAAAATCCTCAGAACATGTATAATAAAATTACATGTATACACTCATTGTGTACCTACTCTGACTTAGAGTATTTACCTATTACTCTTCTATGTTTTATAATGTCCAGTATACATATATGCAAATACTATAAGTCCCTAAGCTTACTCAAAGAAACATATTTTTTCTAGGAATCTTTTTTTTTCGCAATACCTAATATACATGTTAATCAAAAATTGTATTTATTCCATTTTGTTTGTATTATAGAATAAGTAATCTAGCAAAAAAAAAAAAGAATTTATAATATTTTTAATTGTTTCGATTCGTTGCAAGCTGGCTCATGTAATAACCTTACCCGACTAACATTTTCATTAAACATACAATTTCTTTGAACGATAGCATATTGTACAATAGGTATGTATACTGATAACATGATATTTTCATCATAATTTGTATGTTTTTAATTTTCCCTACCGTTACCCCGCTATACGGGGGCATTTGCACTTTAAAAAAAAAAAAATAATTAACTTAATTATAAAAATCTGAAACTTATATATATATAACACTTAACAAGTTTATAGTTGGATTTCATATACATAAATAATATTATAATGTACATTGTAGACTGTAATCTCACATTATACAGATTTTTATTTTTATGAAAGAAAATACAAAACTACAATGAATATCAAATCGATCAACTTAAACCACACGTTATTGTGTGTTATGTGACATTTTACATAGAGCAATTTTTTTACTTTTAGGGTTAAACCACAAAGGCATTTTTTCTTAACCGCTTCAGTAGGTAATCATAATATTATTTTTTCTACACACTTGTCTGGGAACTGTGGTTTTTGTTTGGCGTGTGTCAAACAAACACACACTGACAGGTCGAGACCTGCACGCGTTTAAAATAGGCCGCATGATAATATTATACTATATGAATGGTACACACAATAATAATAATAATTTGTAATCATGCAATTTGTCATGTGTTACAATAAACCCCTTTATATCATTATACTTGATAATATTATCTTATCCGGTAAAAAGCAGCAATATGATTCAACCGCACGCTCAATATTAGGTTGTGTAAATACCGAACAGCTAATATATTTAATCAGCTTGATTGGTTTTATGTAAGTATTTTGGAAATTACACCAGCATGTGAACTAGCTATGTTTTCTCTAATCTGGTGGAATAATAATTATTAAAAATATATACATATATACATAGTATGTAGGTCGAATAGGTGCTAGGATTTATTTTCATCAATAAATTAATTTTATTAGCTAAAAACGTCAACCGCCGGAAAATAGGAACGTATGATATCTTTTTTTTTTTTTTTTTACCAATTTTTAAAATTAAAATTGGTTTTCCGACAATGCTCCTGTTGACTATTTTGCAAAATGAAACGCAAAACCCATTGATTTGAAATTATAATCTTGGCCAACTGGTGGTGTGCTATTCTACCCAACTGGTGTGTACAATTTCACATTCACTTTCTTATTGTGCGATTTAATTCCTATTTCCCTTTCCAAGCCTCTAGTTGGAGTTAAACGTTTGTCGAGAAACGTTATTGGTCATTCCGCTATGCTGACCTCTCCCTCTATTTAACAATATTAATAATAATATGGTAACATAATGTAAAGTCTCTGCGCATTTAATTTCAAAGCGAATTGGTCGTGGAAAAAACATCAGAATTAAATAATTATAAATTGTAAATGTCCAGTTAATAATACAATAATTAACCTAGATAAATATATCATTATTTTTAATAATATGTAGCTATAAAAAAAGATATCTATAGAGAATATGCTTAGCTATGTTTAGATGAACATTTTTTTTTTTTAAATAGCCCTCAAGGATGCTGTGATGGTCTGAAAGAAAGTCATGTTTACTGAACTATTAATTACACGTGTACAGCTGTTAAAACGTTTAAATGACCAGATTTAAAAATCCAAAAAAAGAGTACATTTTAAAACTTAGCTCCTCCTCTGTCATAATTGGCGGATGTATGTATATTATTTTTCTACCCATTTAGCCTATGCCATATCCCATAGGTTATCACCATCTATATATAAAAATGTTTTATCCAATTACCATAAATTGTTATTTTTTTTAAAAAATTCTATTATCAACTATCAAAACTAACGAATCGAAATTATAATTTCATTATAATGTCAACTTATTAGGTGTGTGTGTGTGTCTTTATGATGAAAATACTTTGAAACTTAATGCACTGTAAGTATAAGAAATATAATATTCTAATGTATGTTTATTGAAAAGTATATAATTGGTGTATATTCAAATTATTTTTAAAGGTAAAAATACCGAGTATAAATTTTTATGTACACACAACTTTATCAATAGGCTTCCTACACGTTTAACTTTAATAACTATTGAAATTTTTAAAAAATAACATGCTAAATATATTATAACATAATTATGTTAAATATATTGTATATTTAAAATTATTACTACAAAATAGAGGTATACCTACCTACTCTGTGTGGTTTGGCAACAATATTAAATGTAATTTTAATTGTATTTTTAATAATAAAAAAAGTCCAATATATTTTTGACTTCCATGAATTGTGCATTTAGTAACTCAATATCCGATTTTAAACATTTTATTACAATTTTCATCAGTTTGTAAAAAGCCTGCATTATATTTTTATATTGTATTAGGTCGAATCGTAAAATATAAATAAATAATAAAATTATAAATACTTAAAAAAAAAAAAATTTTAATTTCATGTACTTAACACTATTGTTAAGGACACTAGGACAATGGATAAAATATATACATATATATAATGCCGGTTAGGTAATATTGTAAAATCCGTTACTAAGAAAATATACAACATTCTAGCCAATTTTAATTAGATACCAAACCTCGCCAATTACATACATACCTGTGTAAATATTATATTTTTTACCTCGAGTTTATCGTTTCTCAATATTAGATATCATCCATCGAATACCGGTTTATAATGGAATAATTATTATATTATAATAATATGTTGTTATTGTACATTTGTTTGTTTATTTTATTACATTGCAAAATATTTTTGCCTTCTCCCCCCCCCGTCCGCTCTTTGGTAACCGCACACAGATATAATATTATTATACTTGTATTGCTCAAAAGTCCTATTATTAAATATGCAAAAAATATCAAAACAATATTATGAATTATTAATTTTTATGTATTGTTTCTTAGACATAATATCAAATTTTGAAGGTCACATATGTGTACCTGGACGTTTTGTGCTATTGCTATATAAAGCTCAGTTACTAGTGTTAGGCGGTTATTTTGATTTCAGAAAATGATATTTCGTTTACAATTTGTGTGCCCTTTGCTATTTTCTAAATTAATTTTTTTTATTTAACTAGTAGATGAGTAAAGGAAAAAATCAATTTTTGATCTCCTGAGTGTACAAATTATTAAATATAATCGCTTCTCTGCCTATTAGTGTTGCATCTGCTGAACGCAGCTTCTCCACGCTTAGAAGGTTTAAATAATTTAATGCGTGTGCTAAGTAAAAATTACTGATATTTAGATATTTGTAATGCCTTATTAACGACCTTGAAACAAATATCTTTATTACTCAGAAATCAGAATGTGGTAAATGCTTTAACTCTTAAGTGCTTTATTACTCTTAATTTAGTTTTTAGTAATAATAGTTAAATTCTCTCCTTTTTCTTTTTGGTTACTACTCTTCTAACATACACGTTTTTACTTAACACTTTCTTATTATTTATATCCTTATATTAGTCATATCTGCTACTTTTATTACTTTGTTAATAGGTTAAAAACTTGGCTGAGATCGAAAATGGGCCGGGGCAAGATCGCTTGACGGGTTTGGCTTTACTTAATTATTCACACATCAATTGTATTAAATGTTGATGATGTAATTGATAAATTTGCAAGCATGAAAAAAAGAATTATACATTTTGTTTTGTAAAAAAAAATACACTTTGTTCTATCAAATGTTTAAAAAAAAAATTTTTAGGGGAGGAGTTAACCTCTCTTAATATTGCCCCCCCCCCCTGAGGTGAAGTCTCAAATACGCCACTGACCTATATATGTGTGTATATCTATTATATGTGGATAAAAATTGGCAAATTTTAGTGTACTAACTACTACTCTCTTATAATAAATTAAAAAAAAATATGTAAAACATCTGATATTATTCATTCGAAATTATCATGACTAGTTTGAAAAAATTGATTTAAAAAAAAATTTTTTTTACTTTATTTATCTACTAGTTAAATAAAAAAAATGTAATTTAACAAATAGCAAAGGGTAAAAAAATTGTAAACGAAATATTATTTTTTGAAAACAAATAATAACCGCCAAACTATTTATAATAACTATGAGCTTTAAATATAGGTACCTACCTCATTCGGTTAGGCGTACTTACCTTCAGGTAAATAATAATTATAATAATAGTTAGGTATATCGAATCGGCCCATGTGCGAAACTGTAAAAAGTATAATATGGTATTGAATTTTTTTTTTAAAATATATTATATATTTTTAATTATTACTATAAAATAGAGGTATAATATGTATACAAAAAAAAGTACCTATAGAGAATATGCTTAGCTATGTTAAGATGAACATTTTTTTTTTAAATAGCCGTCAAGGATGCTGTGATAGTCTGAAAAAAAAATTAACTACCCAAAAAAAAGAGTCATGTTTACTGAACTATTAATTACACGTGCACAGCTGTTAAAACGTTTAAATGACCAGATTTAAAAATCCAAAAAAAGAGTACATTTTAAAACTTAGCTCCTCCTCTGTCATAATTGGCGGATGTATGTATATTATTTTTCTACCCATTTAGCCTATGCCATATCCCATAGGTTATCACCATCTATATATATAAAAAAAATGTTTTATCCAACTACCATAAATTGTTATTTTTTTTTAAAAATTCTATTATCAACTATAAAAACTAACGAATCGAAATTATAATTTCATTATAATGTCAACTTATTAGGTGTGTGTGTGTGTGTCTTTATGATGAAAATACTTTGAAACTTAATGCACTGTAAGTATAAGAAATATAATATTCTAATGTATGTTTATTGAAAAGTATATAATTGGTGTATATTCAAATTGTTTTTAAAGGTAAAAATACCGAGTATAAATTTTTATGTACACACAACTTTATCAATATGCTTCCTACACGTTTAACTTTAATAACAATTGAAATTTTTAAAAAAATAACACGTTAAAACTTAAATATATTATAAAACAATTACGTGAAATATATTATATATTTTTAATTATTACTATAAAATAGAGATATACCTACCTCTACTCTGTGTGTGGTTTGGCAACAATATCAAAGGGGGGCGGGGGGTGGGGCTACTGAAGAAAATTTATGATTATTGTGTGTAGGTAGCTGTATTATTATCACATCATCATTCTAGTTTGGTTCTCCTTGCCCGGAACGTCTTTGGTTTGGCCGAACGTTAAAACCAGATAACCTCAATTGTTGCCGTTTAATGCCTGTTATTATTATTATTATTTTTTTTTTTTTGGAACACCGACATGTCCCGTCGTATCTAATATCCGTCGTTTATATATAAATTATAATTTATAAAATTTAACATTTTTATTATTTACACCGTGTCTATCCAGCAGTAGTTTACCGTAATCATCGTATTCCTACATTACTATTATTATTATTATTACCAAAACTTTATCGTTATTATTGTTACACCTAGTACAGGTATACCTGTGCAGCTGTTCTATGTCGGTTTTCATATAATACTTGCCATTTTTATTACAGGTACCTAATAATAACCGTTGACGGATATTTTTGATAATATAATATTATATTATATTATACCATCATCATTCATTCCCGATGTGAACACCACCACGGACAACCGTGTGCGATGACGGAGGCTGCAGCTGCTGACGACGGGCTGAGTGTTGCCGTTTAAAGCCCGGAAAAGGCGGAAGATCGTTGAAAAAAAAATCAAAATTTAATTAAACACCTACTATATTAATAAGTACACCAGAAGAGCCACACACGAGTACGCACACTGCAATGGATTTGTACACCGCAAAGGCGCTGATCGTATTCCTGTCGATCGTGTCGAGGCTGTTCTTCGGTTTCACCCCGTTGGCCATATCCAGAAAACTATTGACCAACAAAACCGCCGACTCGCTCAATTCCAACACGGTAAACTATACTTTGATTTTGTTTGTCAGCGTCGTGCTCGTTTCTTTAATACTACCTATAATATGTTGCCCGATAAGCCGTCTCTTGGAAGTTACGTGTTTTTAAAATAAATAATCATTTCCGTGTTATCGTTTCAGCTAGAATACTTGGTGTCGTTATGTCTGAGCTTGGGCGGAGGTGTGTTGCTGGCGACCTGCTTTGCGCACCTAATACCCGCCGTACGAGAGAGTCTACTGGGCAACCTGGACGAGAAATATCACCACTATCCGTTCACCGAGATCATCGTGTGCATGGGTTTTTTCCTCGTGTATTTCGTCGAAGAGTCCGTCAAACACGTAGTGAAAAAACACAGGAAGCGTTGTAAAGCAAAAACCACCAAACACTGCGATAGACTGTTGCAATGGACCAACGGTCAGCTGACTGCCATCAAGTCGACCGACGACATCAGTTCTGTGAGCGTGGATCAAGCGAACAGAACCAACGACTGCCAGGCAGAACAGAACAACAACAACGAGATGTCGCACGTGCACAATTTGAGAAGTCTTTTCGTCGTGTTGGCGTTGTCCTTTCATTCCGTAATGGAAGGCTTGGCCATCGGCTTGGAAGAAAACATGGACGACATGAGTTTCCTGTTTTTGGCCGTTTCCATACACGAGTGCACCATTTTGTTTTGTATTGGCATGAAATTGGCCACTTCGTGTTCGTCGTTAACAAACATCACGCTAAACATCATTGTTCTCGCTTTAGTATCGCCTTTCGGTATGTACGAGAAAACCCGCTATTTGTTAAAAAAAAAAAAACATGTTTTTTTTTCTACACTTAATTTCAAATTTTTCAATCTCTTCTATTCGCGACGTTAACTGTGTATGTGTGTGCGTTTTAGGTATATTTTTGGGTTCTATATTGACACTCAACTTGACCGCCGTGGACGGAGTATACCATACGATCGGAAACGCCACGTTGCAAGGGTTTGCCGCCGGCACCATATTGTATGTGACGTTCTTCGAAGTACTCGATCGAGAACGCAAAAAGGACAACGCGCCTGGTTTGCTCAAGTTGTTGTTTACCATGATCGGTTTCTCCTTCATGGTCACGTTAGAATTTATAGGTAATTGATGAACCACCACACGTTAACACCCCCCTGTAGTTCTCGACAACAACAATTTTTATATTATTTGGTACATTTTTTTTTTTTTTTTTTCAGGTGGTCATCATCATAAAGAAAACCATCTGATCAATGAACTGAACAACTGTTCGGCATCAAAGGCGGCTCATGTTCCTGTTCCTTAACACTCACGCACACGAGCACTGATTGTTTCAGAAGTATGTTACCATTAAAAAAAAAAAAACACTGAATAAAATTTAATCTCGATTAGCGTAAAACAAAAAAAACGTACTTTATAATTTTTTGTTGTGTGCTGTATTGAAAAAAAAAAAGGGTTTTTTTTATCGTTTAGCGCTCTTTGATATTCAAAAGAAATACTTCTGAAATGGTCGTTTGTTATGTTGGCATTATGCATCTTGTATTAAGACTATATATATATTTTTAAGTTAACGCGAATCATTTTTAACGATCTTCCATTACAATAATTTTTTTTTTTTATTTTATAAATATTAATAAGTAATAGACTAATATTTAATATCCCATTCAGGGTTATTTTTCTAAAGTATTTATTTTTATTTTTTTTTGTTATCTGCCAAAATTAAATTAATATTTTTTTTTTTGATACGTTTTTAACTCGATAACGGTGTTCCTTGTGTAAAAAAAAAAAATTACTTTGAAATCAACGAATGACGAATGACGATGATCATTCGCCTTGGCTGTGCCCCATTAAGTCGTTTTTATGTATTTCAAACAAATTTTTCTATGGTCATGTGCTACACATGTACATTTAAGACTTAACAAAATTTATTATGTTTAAAATAAGGTATTATTATTATTATTTTCTTTGTTTTTTTTTTTTTTTAAAGTAAATCGTATGTCAATTGCAGGATATTATGTATTTTTAATCAACTCTAATGTAATTAGAGATTATTTACATTATTTTTAAAACTATCATTATAATAAATTGTTATTGTAAAAAAAAAATTGTTTGATGATTGTCTTGTAAACAGTTTTTTTGTTATTATTATTTAAAAAGGAAAGATGTATGGTTAATACGAATATCAACATTTTGATGAAAATATATATTTTCTTTTGAACGGTTTCAAAACTGTTGTTGGACAAAAGTAATTGTTATTTATTTATTTTAATTCTAAATATGAAGAAATTTGTTTTGTATATTTTTTAATGCATATATTTTATTTTATAAAACGTATTATGTAATTTGAAAAAAACAAACCTAAAAATAAGAGTATTTTAAACAGGTGAAATGATAGGGCAATTATAATAGTTACAGTTTATATATTTAAAAAAACAAAAGGTAATTGTACTGTAAAAAAATGTCTCGACAGTTGCGCACCACCGCACAATATTAATTATTTATTACTCGAGAGATGATATTACGTCTTATCAAGTTGGACTATATTATACTCTTGTCGTGTTCTTCGGCCTTTAAATGGTTTATAGCGTTCACCGTCCACGCGTCTTTCACGCCCTCTGTATATTCTCTAATAAATCTGTAATTTAATACGTATATACTGCTTCGTAATTCTTTTTGTATATTTTCTACGTCTTCGACGCGTTTCTTGACTTCTTCCAAATTGTGGATAGCGTGGTAACACATAGTGACTTCAATGAAACGTCTGTTCTTGACTGGAAAAAAAAAACAAAATATGAATAAGTCTAGAATGAGCTAACGGATACGAATGCTCACTGTTTTTGTCGTTTACCACTTCTACTTGATACGGGAAATAAAAATACATGTCTTGCGCGTCGAAAGCCATGTCTTTGATTTCGTCATCGTTGAGATTGCTCACGATCGATTTCACTTGTTCCAATACGTCTTTGGTCACCAGTCCTTCGAGAGAGTCAAAGTCTCGTTGGGCGATACTGTGAGAGACGACTGCGACAGCCTAGAAAAAAAAAAAAAATGATAATCATCGAGTGTCCACGAACTACGATCGTACGACTCGAGAGTCGCAAGAGAGAGACCTTTTTGGAATTGTTTGAGAAATCCACCAGGTTGAAAGTGTTGTCGTACTGAGATCTGACGACCAAATACGAGTACAGCCAACTGCCGACTGTCTTGAACAGACTGGGCCAAATAATTGGCGGAAACTCTGGCACTTGTGGAAACGGCCTGTAATCTTTGCAATAGAGACGATTTGACGGCACCAACGATGACGATGTTAGGCGGTTGTTGGTTGTGTTTTGACAAAACTGGTGTTCAGCTGTACTCACTCTGAAAGTGTTATTGCCAAAAAATCTGACCGTGTCCACAGCGAACGGTTTGCCGCATTTGAGCATTTTCTTACATTTCCTAAGCAACAATACCGAATGCATTGCGACGGTTCTGAGTGTTGGTGTCGTTTTAAAATTCGGATTAATAATTATTTAGTTTTTTCAACTAAGATATTATTAGTAAATTAGTTTTGTCCGCTTTTTAAACGGAGCTAAATCATTTTTTTCCAAAACAAATTGATAAGCTTATCACACAACCTTATCACTAAACAATATTTCTTATCAGATAAGTGATAAGAGATTAAGATTGTACATTGTATTATGAGATTTTTGAAAATTGTCATTTGTTTAATTTATTAGTTAAAAACTTTGAGAGTTGCTTAGCAATTGCATATTTAAGTGGACCGACCGGTTGACTTACACAAGTTGAAAATGACTTCTGTGGAAGTAAAGGAAGTCATCGAACATCCCATTAAACTGAGAGGTGAGTATGAAGTTAAATTTATTCAGTTTACATTCTACCTAGAACATTAAGTTAAATGTCATTTTATTGGGTTTGTTCTGTTTTCAGTGATGCGTCTCGGTAAGCCGGTAATGTGTAACTCGAGGGTAGTTACGTGTGATCCAAAAGACCTGCCCGGACCCGTGTTTGACGCACAGTTAAAAAGCGACGTCACTACGTTGGCCGGCGCCGAAACGTTGGCTGCCGGTTCGTTTCTGATGGTTCCTAACGTTTTAGAGTGAGTCCAGAGGGTACTAGTATAGTACACTTGATAGTATAATATAACAATGAGACTTGTATAACAAACAACCTAGTACGTTGTGTTTTGCCATTTCACAGAAATTTGTATCTCGGTGAAACGTTCCTGTGTTATGTTTACTTGAAAAACGAGAGCGCCCAAACTATTCACAACGTCGTGTTGAAAGCCGAAATCGATACGGCCACGTCGCACATACTCATACTGGGACCGAAAACGTTTGCAAAGTTGGATCCGTACGCTTCTATCGACGTCATTGTGAAACACGAAGTCAAAGAACACGGCAGTGTCAAGTATATGAACGATACTATAATGATATATAGTATTATCGGTAGTTTATTTAATTAACACGTATTTGTTTTTTTTTTCAACAGTAAACTTATATGTCAAGTGGAGTATGATCGTAAGCATTCGTTTGAAACGATATTCAGTTATAGAGTTCCGAAACCTTTAGATCTTAAAACCAAGTTCTACAACACCGTGGTAAGTATCGAGCAGAGTTTTGGCGATATTTTAGATTAATTTTTTTTTTATTAATTCCTAGACCGACGAGGTTTACCTTGAAGTACAAGTGCAAAATATCATGTCCACTCCAATCACGTTGGAAAAATTCATCTTGGAGCCGTCCGTCGGATACAACGGTAACATAAATTAATATTGGCCATATTGTAACGTTGTACAATAAACCTTGACAAGTTTTATTTGGTTTTCAGTCTACTCGATGAATCACATGTTGAGGAGTTCGGAAGACGTGTCCGTGTTTGGAGATTTGGACATATTGGACGTCAAGGAGACCAGACAGTACATGTATCGTCTGAGTTACGATCAGAGTGTCGACAAACAGCCGTCCAGGACGAACAATCTGGGCAAGTTGGACATTTTGTGGCGGTCCAACATGGGAACCAAAGGACAAATACAATCGAGTCCGTTAGTCCGACAAGTTAGTGCCCAAGTACACACGCTTGTGCTTCGTAACGAAAACTAATGTTTTTTTTTTTTTATATGTATATAGATACCGGAACTAGACGATATTACCTTTTCGATCACTCAACTGCCGGACATGGTAGTCTGCGAGGATCAGTTCAGTTTTGTTTGTTCGATCAAAAACAACAGGTACTGTAAAATTGAAAAGACGGACGACCCGTTTTAGAAAAAGCTATAATTTCTAAAAAATGTAAAACACAGGAATCGAGACATGCAACTGGTCGTCGAGGTTAACGACGAAGAAGACAACAATCTGGCTTGGTCTATGGTGTCGGGCATGCGATTGGGACTGTTGCCGCCGTACGCTTCGACGCAAACCGTATTCTCGATGGTGGCTTTGAACCACGGACTCCAAGTAACGGCAACTTTATAACAAATATATAATATATATTAAACATGTATAACAATAAAAGACTTTACTTTTACGTTGTCACAGGTCATATCGGGCATTAAACTGAAAGAAACGATCCTCAACCGTACTTACACGTACGACAATTTCGGACATGTTTTCGTAGCGCAAAACGTCGCTTGATTGGCCAACGGTCTGTCGTCAACAGCCGCCACTTGAACGTTCACTGTGATATTTTTTTTTTTATTTAAATACAATTGCAATCAAAAAGAGCCGACAAATTGTCGGTTCAAGTATAGCTTAACGCGTTAAGTTTTATTAAAATTATATTTATTTATGTATTTAACATTTATACGAAAATATATTAGAAATCATTTATTCGTGTAATACAATAACATTGCAGTTTTGATCATTAAATAATCTAATTGATGAAATGCATAAAAGGTACACATGTTATTAATATAAATATTTAAATTTAAAGAATTTAACAATGTTCAGTTCACGTAAAAAATAAAAAATATTGCTTTGATCGAGTACCGATAAAATAATAATATAGTTAAAATATAATAATACTATAGTTGGTGTTAATGTTAAAAAAAAAATTAAAAATATTGAGCGTTGTCTTACGAAGAAAAAATTACTTAAATGCGCATGCGATTAGTGAAATATATACGTTTATCCGCTATCGAACGAAACAATAAAAATCATGGAAATTAAAAATATTAACAAAGTGAAAATAATTAAAAACTACGACCCTGCCCAGTACACGATAATAATAATAATAAAAAATGTTTTCTTTAAAATAAAAAAATCTTTGGAACTTTTGGAGTCGATTGAGGAACAAAAAAAAAAAATATCAAAAGAGACTGACGCCGACGATAATAAATAAATATAAGTATCACAGATGTTTTTTTGGTGGTCTTTGATTAACGACGACGAGCTACGCCAAACACCAAAGATATGAAATCGCCGACCAATACGATTGCAATAAAAACTAGTACACCGATGTATTGGAACAACGTTGTGATGCCGGACATCATCCGTCAGGCCATCGTGTCTAATCGGCACTTGACGCGCCATAGTTTCACCGCACCGTCACTGAAAAGATTAAAAAACATAACAATCCAATAACATCATATCGTATATTTTGTTACACCAACTAACTACGTTTAAAGAGTAACAAACATGCAAAAAAAAACCAAGTTGATACGTAGGCAAGGAAGAAGAAGAAAAAAAGGAGATCTATATTGAATGATTCATCTAAAGCGGTGATGGGGAAATATGCACATAAAAAAATACTTGAGATTGTTTACACAACGTTTTCTATATAATAACGCGTCGACAGAATAATCAATTATATATTTACAAATTTCATTTTTTTTTTTACACATAATTTTACGGTAACAATTAACTTAAATAAAAATATCGACAATATGATCTTATGAAAAAACTCAAGCAACAACACTTATTCAAATAATAAACCCTTAACCACAAAAATATGATAATATGATCAGCAAAAAAAAATTAAATAAAATGATTATTAGCAATGGGCGGTATGAAATGACAGAATGTTCGGATGACGTTTGAAGGCAACGACAAACTATCGTTGTAATGTAAGTTGCATAAAATTTGGATATATTTTGTTCATATAAAAAATAATATATGATGTTTACGCTTTGAGTTTGTATTTTCAATCGTCGTTTGACCGTTTATTTTTAAATACTATTTAAACAATGCCCAGGTTTGTTACGAATAACCGTCACAACGTCAAAAGAATATCGGCCACCGCATTGTCTATTAACATTAACAGTACGGATCGGCTTGTATACAAATAATATAATTGTACTGAGCTGCAATCTACGGCGTTCATGCGACACATTTAAAGCGTAAATACTAGATTTGTTGTTGTGTATATGCGAAAAATTAAAAATCATAAAACAAAATAAAAACTTAAAGATATGAAATAATAACAATTTGTGTTAATTCTTAATTATTGTTAAAATAAGATAAAAAATTAACAAGAGTCGTAGTACAAGTGTCTGCGTAAGTGTTAACCTGGTCGTGATCGTCACAAGTCCGCCGCGAACAAGTGTGCCGTCGACACCACGGTCATGGGCGACGCAAACTCGACGTTCTATACGACCCGCCACATCTTGACCTCACCGCGGCTGAAATCATCGCATACACACACCACATGCAAAAATTGCCCGCCACCACCGTACCACCACTACTACACAATGTGTACGCTAATATTATAAAAAACATCGTCAACACGTACTGAGCTGCGGTGAAAACGTGGGTCGAGTTGGTCGCGATAGCGTTGATCTGAGAGTCGTGCGCTTTGGTCTCGCCGAGAAGGGCGCACGTCGATTCCGACCACATTTTCAACGAACCGCTGCGACAGACGCTCAACAGCAACGGCTGATCGGGCACCATCGCCAAGCCGCAGATCCAATCTTTGTGAGCGTTGTTTATCGACTAGATTAAAAAAAAAAAAACAAAGATATATATATATATATACACACACACATGATACATTTTCACACAAAAAGTTTCACTAGGTACTAACGGTCACCAAGTCCTGTTTGTCGAGGTCCCATTTTTTGATGGCGTAATCTCTGGAGCCCGAGAAGAGAATATTGTGGCGGATGGCCAGGGACTGGATGCCGTCGTAGTGAGGCGGCTCCAGATTGACGGTGGGGTTGTAAGTGCCGACGGCCTCTTCGCCGACCTCGAACATTTTTATGTAATGGTCCTTGGACCCGGTGACGACAATGTCTTTGCTGCCGAGCCGACCAATTGCCAGACACATGACAGCTGCCGTATGACCGCCGCTCAGTTTGCCGCGAATCGCAAACCTGAATCGAGAATACACAATTTTGTTATTATTATGGATTATTTTTTGGAAAATAATAATACTACAATGTTCAAAAATAGTTTTTCAATTACTTTCTCATGTCCCAAATCTTGACTTTGTCCCCGGACGCCATGTACAGTGTTCGGCCGTGATTGTTCAACGCGATATCGTTCAACAAGATCTCTCCGACAGGAATTTGAGACGACATGACCGAGCCGTTGTTTACGATACCGGACGAACTAGACGGGTAATTGTCGATTGTCATTCATATGAACAATTTTTAATTATTATTTTATTTTGTTTCTATACCTGAGGGTTTTAATACATCTCGATTGCCGCATGTCCCAAACTCTGACGTACGAAGAAGTAACGCTCAGCACCAGTTGGGTATACTCGTCGTACTTGATTGCGACTACGCTATTCGGATGGCCGCTCAACGTCTGTATTTCTTTACCATTATTGAGGTCCCAAATTTTTACAGTCTTATCTAATTGAAATAAACACATTTGAGTGGTTTCAATCAAACTCACTGTTTCATATACACCTTCTCTTACCTTTTGAAGCGCTAAACAATAAATCTTCGGTTGCACAAACGGCCAACACGGCTCTAGAATGACCTTCGGTGATGTGAGTGCAGATCAAAGGCGATTTCATCGATGTCTGAAAATCAAGTGTTGTTAATTTACACCTTTATTGAATGCGTTTATCGACGGACGACTAACTTTTCCGTGGAAAGGCTGAATCACTCCTTTGGAACGGTGTTGATCGAATTGCGTGGTGCTAGACGTGAGACGAGAAAACACATTTTCGTCTCTGCTGACGGTTCGGCGATAAGCGGGCGGTGAATTCGGAGGGCTTTTGTTTAGTCGATCCCTGTTAGATTAAAAAGCGCCAACACCGACAAGAGTTAGTACAGTTAAAAAGTTTGATTTGTGCACTTGTGTTGTTATGTATAATTTTTTTTTGTTTTTAAGTAATAAGTTTGTTTTTGGCATAAAAAAAATGTCTATTAGTAACAGTTAGTAGAAGCACTCACATTGAACCTGGTTTGCCTAATAGATTTGTGTTGGGAGCGATGATAAACGTGCCTCGTCTAATCATCCGGGGCGAGACAGACTCTTGCCGTTCGACTTGCTTGCGACCCATAACCGGCGAAGGTCTGTACTTGTCGGGTCTACAATGGTAAAGTCTCAAATTAAATATATATTTACAAAATCAGCACGAGAGGTGCACGTCGACATTACCGTAAGAACGACGAGGCACTAGGAACACGCACCAACGGTATTCTCTGAGGTTGTTGCGGTTCGATATTTTTGGAGGCGTAAAGTAGCTCTTGCGCTTGGGCCGGTCTACGCCTGTGCTTACTCGTCCCCGTATCACTTCTGGTGCTAGTTCTAAAAGAGTAACAGTAAGAGCAACATGTTTACCGCGTTAACCAAAAATATGTAAAAGCTTACGTCATTTCCGTGGGAGACGCCGAACGGGACGAAGAAGTAGAGCTCATTACGGATCGTACATCTCTGTCGCTGCTGGTGGTCATACTTGTCGGCAAGTCGATCATACGATCGCGACTCGACAGCATATGTTCAATGAGTTGTCGTTGTATTTCGTTTTCTTTCTCCAACTATATGAGAGAGAGTTAAGGAAAAATTAATCATTTAAAATCAAGCAATTAATTTTGTTAATAAATGTATACTTGTTGCATTTTGGTCTCCAATTCTTTTACACTGATATCTCGTTGAGCGGCCAAACAAGAATTGTGCAGAGACATTTGATAGAGTTTTTCCATAACGTACACGGCGTCGGTCATGTTGGTCACACGATTGTTCAGCTCTAGGCTTTCGGTGGCCGTCTGTGACAAATATTTGATTACGATTAAAATTGTGCATCAGCAATATGTTAAAAAAAGAAACACAAGACGCGTACTTTGGAATCTTCGATTTGCAATATGTTCTCTTGGAGTTCTTTGATGCTTTCGTCCACGTAGTCCAAGTTGGCTCGAATTGCTTCGATTTCGTCTTCGAAATCACGATGCAGATTGCTGTCGCGGGGCTGTTGCACTTGGGCGTCGGCTAGTTTTTTAAGCTTAAAGTCCAAGTCCGAATGCAATTTCATTCTTTCTTGTAACAGCCTAAAACAAAAATATTATAGTATGTAAAATATAAAACGATACTAATGTGTCAAATGAAAAGAAAAAAAATGCCGTTTGATATTTCCTTGTAGTACCTTTCCATGTCTTTTTCCAACGAATACAAAGTCTGTTTGTTGAGCGTTAAAGCGGAAATGTTTTTCTCCAAATTAATCCAAGTTTGTTTGGAATTCTTTTGGATAGCTTTGGCACCGGTCGCACTACCTCTGTTGTTCATCGCTCTTGCGGCTCGACGAAGCGCCGTCACCTCTTCTTGTTTTCTTTTCAACACGACGTCGCGCATACGAGACTTGGATTCAAGATTGCGCATTCTGATTTCGGCCCTTCTGGATTCCTTCCTGAGTTGCGCTATCTCTTTGGCCTTCTTCATCTCGGACTCGTGGTGTCGCGTCGTTTCCTCTTTGATTTTGTTCATTAGTTTTACTTTGGTCCGCTTCATGTCGTTCACTTCGTATCTAAGAGTCCTAATCTGATTCTCGTATTGCGATTGATCGCGCAACAATTTAGCATGTTCTTTTCTAGCCGACTGCAAAGACTTGAGTTCTTTCTGCATCGTAGTGAGTTTTCGTTCGTAATCGTCTTTTACCCTTTTGACTTTTTCCGATTGGTTGTTTGTGTTGCTGCTCCCTAAAAGGTAGATAAGAATTTTAGTGATAACGTGGAAAAAAAAATTAATACCACAAAAGCGTGAAAAATTCTATCTAAATCATCTGTACTAAAGATACAATAATTATTTAGGCAACAATTATAATTATGTATCTAATACTTAAGCCGAGATAAAATTGCATTATCGACATAATATAGTTAAAATTACCGAGAGACGTTAAAACCGTATCTCGTTCGTCTTGAGTGAGTTTAATTTTGGTTTGAAGTTGTTGCAACTTTTCTTCGTAGTGTTGCCGCAAGTTGGCTAGTCTACGTTGTGATAGTTCTAATTCTTCGATGAGCTTTTGTTTTAAATTTATCTCCGAAGTCAGGTTGGCCAGCTCTTGGCTGTATTGACTGTCGACGCTCGCTCTCTCGTCTTCGTCGTCCGACGAGTTATCTTCGCTGTCTGAAATAATTTACATATTCGATAGTCAACTTGAAATTGTATAATTTTAACGTGTTAGTATTTTGAAAAATGTATTCTATTTACCGGCAGAGTCTGTCGATTCACTATCGGAACCATGCGACTTGACTGAAATCAATCGTTGTAATGTTTGTTTTTCGTTCTCGAGTTCCAACTTGGCTTTGGCGATTAATTCTTTCGAAGAGTACTCGTCGTTATTCGAATTGGTGAAATGACTTTTTACCGGCGAAGAAGCGTTTTTACGCAGTTGTCCGCACATGTGTTCGGATTCCAATAGCTTTGCCCGGAGCTCTTCAATTTCTTTCAAATAACCTTGAATGACGTCGGCCATGTTGGACTCCAAGCCGGCGTCCGTGTTCAACCAAGCTCCCGTAGCTTTTTCGGCCAACAACTGTGTATTTTTTGTGGTCAACACGTCAATGGTTTCTTGCATGGCTTTAATGCGAGTTCTCATGTTACTTATTTCCGTTTGTAACATGTTGTTTTCCAGGTAAGTGTCGTTTACGCATTCTTCTCCGTTTTCGTTTACAGTTCTTTTGCCCTAAACGTTTAGGTGCAAGTAAATATCAGTAATAAAAAAAAAAAATCCAAGTATTAGGAAAAAAAAACAACCAACCAACCTGTTTGTACTCCATGATTTCTAATTGGAGTTGTTGGATTTCTTGGCGTAAAATCTGGATCGTCCTCGACGATTTATCTTGGTTTATCACTACCTTGTTTTGGATATTACGAGCTCTGTTGGCGTACTTCAATGTGTTGAGAGTTTCCATAAAATCTCGGTCGCTTGGCGACACACAAGCTATCATAACGGTACGACTGTTGCCTGAAACAAAACCATTTACACAATACAAAACTTGTTCTAGGTAAGTCAATTTTCAATTGCGACTTGAATAATACCTCCTAGAGAATCTTGAAGTAATCGAGTTAGTTTTGAATCTCTATAAGGCACGTGCATGACTTTCCGTGATCTATCTCCGAGGGCCGATATGACGTTTCCCAACGCTAATAGTCCACAGTTGATCGATATCCCTTCCTTAGCTCTGTCGCCAGTGGCTCCGGTTCTTTTCAATCGCTCCGAGCCGGCCAAGTCGACGAAATGAAATTTGGCAGTGAGCGTTTCAAATTCGCCGGCATTTCGATTGCCCGTTGAATTTGTTCCGCATTCTTCTAAAGTCGACTCGGTTCCTTCGTCCTGAAAACAGTACAACACTGTTTATTAATTATTGTCGCAAAGCTGTATCGGCCAATAGGGTGTTGTAAGGAAAAATATGAACTCACCTCCTGTTTCACAAATCGCTTTTGTTGAATATTAATAGTGAACACGGCGTGACTTCGCGAAGACTGCGAATTCATCGCGGTGGCCGCAGTTGTACGCGACAACGCTCCTTGTCGTAAACTGGACAGAGCTTCACTCGCCGAATTGATCGTTTTCCACGAAACTCCCGTAACATATATGTTGTGTTGCATGTCTTCGTGGATGCGAATACCGTTTTTGGACTGGAAAGACAAAATTATTAAAAAACTTAAAATACAACACAAGACTTTTTTAACAAAACCTTTTAAAAAGTTAACGTACTTTGGCCGAAGAATAATCGCACGCCGTGTCGAACAAGTCAATTATTTCTTCATTGTAGAGTTCCAAAAACTGTGCAGTAACTGTGAAATGGGGCGGTGGTTCACCGTTGTCCATCGATTGTTGTTTTATGTTTTGTATTCCGTCGAACAATTGGTGTATGGCCCGAGGAATTATGCCTGTGGCGGACGGATCCGAGTCGTCGACATTTTCCAAATCGAATCCACTGCCCATCGTGTAAGTTTTGCCAGAACCAGTCTAAACAAATAGAACAATATGATAATCATGACGTGGTACACAATAGTTTTTTTTTTTATCGTTGGCTATACCTGGCCGTAAGCGAGGACCGTGGCATTGTAACCTTGTAGGGCGCCGGCCACAAGACTGGACGCACAGTCCTCGTAGACCGTCTGTTGGTTTTCGTGGGTGTCGAACACATAATCGTACGTAAACGACTTGTCTGAGCCCAGAGTCACTTGGGGTTCGCCAGGAGTTACGTTGGTACATATTCGGCAGCCGTCGATCACTTCGCGTGCGATCTGTGGCCGTATCCTGGAGAGCAGACGAGAAGACGATAAATTTAATATTCAATATTACACTACCCAGTTGGGTGAGGTTCTCGATTCGGTCAGGTTAGGTTTGTCGGTTGTTATTGGTTTCGTGTTGTTCTAGTTAAATTATAGGTAATGATATATTTTTGATAATGACAAACGACCTCTGGCGATGGGAATAGTAGGATAATAATAATGACGATGATGATGATAAACAATGCGCCCGGTCATCTCCATTTATGGGAAGACCGCGTTCAGCTTCCCCCACATCCTATAAATATTCACTTTTTCGACACTCCTTGTCATTCGCACACACACACACATGGGCTTGAATGAAGTTTGGTCGTAAACGGCCACAAGGCCGCGAGTGTCGTTTGGAAAATAAAAAAAAACGATATAATAATAATAAGGACTCGTTATAGAAGGCCGTGACTGTGTACAATCCGTATTTTTATGATTTTACACGGATAAAATTAATACGGTACTATCACACGACGGTTGTGTAAACAGCACTCAAAAAAAAAGGGGCCAAAAAAACAACACTTACCTGACGGCCACTTTTACCGACGATTCGTCCTCCGACACGGACATGTCGACTGCGGCGGTGGACGTCCACCATCAACGACCACAAACGGCGGCGTTCATTATGCAACCAGCAACGGCTGCTTGCCGTAGCAGTTATAAAACATATTAGTAATCGATAATATATTATAATATACACACTAAAAATAATAATTTTGACAAAAAAAAAATAATTAAAAGTTTGGCGCTGATAGTAGTGGACGGGACGCGAAAATATCCGATAGGTTATCACGCACGGCGGACGATGAGCGATGGACCGGAAACGGCGGCCACGGTAGTCACCACTTATATACCCCGGTCAATATATTTTGATTTTTAGGTAGGTATTGCATTTGCGTTTGATTGTTTGTATGTTTTTTTCTCCGTTCCAAAAATAACCATAAAAGAATCACATATTAATATTGTTATTATTAAAATAATTACTACTTGCGCACGACCAATGTAAGATAGGTAAGTGTGCAAGTGCGACTACATCATAACGGAATCCCGTATCACATGACTGCGGCGGACAACTGCGGCCGCCGCCGTCGCGGTTGGTCGGTCCCGGTGATAACCGCGTGCACGCCGCGCCGCACCGCCTATTGTGGAGTGGGAAGACGGCCCAGCAAAGTGGGAAAGAGAAAGGTGGACGCCGGAGTGTGCCCCCCCCCACGAAGGGAGATGCAATTTCCAAAAAAAATTTCTGGGTGCTAAGTTTAATGAGATTAATGTTTTTTTTTTTTTGAACAAGGATGTTGTATATTAATTTAACAATATATTTTTAACATTTTAGTTTATTAGCATTTTAATTTTGTAACAAAAAAAAAAGCCAGTACAGTGGGGTCGGGGCATAGCGGGGACGGAGAGGTCACAGGTCTACAGATTTTATTATAACTGTAAGTGATAAAATCACTTTTAAATAAACGCTTCGATGCAAATTTGTGGATAGCATGTTCAAACCAGTTATAGCGGTTTAGAAGATATCGTGGGACCAACAATAATGTACTTAAAATTTAATGTTTAGTCTTGTGTAGGGTGGATACGATAAGGGTTGATCGTCTGTCTATAAAAATGTACTGTCATAGTTACCCATACATCGTAATTAACAATATAATGAAAATATTTTCATTACCTGTTGATTGTTGATTCACACACACATAACAACCTAGAAACTAACTACGGCCAAAGTGTAAATTTACCCTATTTTTGGGGGTTCTAAAGTATAAAATTTAAATTATGAGTACAAAATTGTATTAAATATGCTTCCTACATTTGACATTTTTTAATATAAAAACATAACATATTTTAAATTTTAATTGTATATTTTAATTTTAACATAATGAAGAGGTCAAATATACTTTTGAGAACCATGTGTTGCTTTTAGTAACTTGGTATCCGATTTCAAAGCTTTAAACATTTATAGAAAATATAATTAGGTACCTAAAAACGAACTTATTGACTTTTAATATATTATTAACTTAAAAAGCGAATAATTAAAAATTAAAAATAATTAACAAAAAACTGGTTTAATGAAATCCAGTATACGGTGAGGTTAACTGAAAGTGATAAAATCACTTTTAAATAAACGAAGCGATGCCATTCTGTGGATAGTAGGTTCAAACCAGTACGGTCCAAACCAAGAACAGTAAGAAATTAGTATACATAAGTGAGTAGTAATCGTAATAGTAGTAGGAGTATAATAAGGGATGCCCAGTGAACTAACGACAAATATGTGCTTAAAAATTATTTTTCAGTATTAACGTGGATACGATTAGGGTTGATAGTCTGTCTATAAAAAATGTACTGCCATAGTATTGACAATATAATGAAAATATTTCCATTACCTGTTGACTTATTGATTCACTCACACACAGCAGCCTGGAAATTGACTATGGTCAAAGTATAATTTTACCCTTTTTTTTATTGGGGGTGGGGGGGGGGGTTCCTTGATAAAAAAAAGCCCATTCTTTGGTCTAATCTCCATACCTAAATCCCTAAAAATTTTGCTTGAAAAAGTGAAATAAAGTAAAAAAAAATGTCTATCTCTTCTAGAAAAAAGAGCGTATGATATTTTTTTTTTTTGTTTAGCTTGGACGTTTGGCCGCTTTCACAACATATTGCGGCGCTGGCCAATCGCGGTGTCGATTCCATTATATTGTCGCGAGCACATCGTCGTCGCGACGAGGCCACACAACAAAAGACACCGCGGCCACGGGTTATTATAATATAGTAACACCAATAATGGCCTATTAGTTTTTCTTTTGTTCAACGGTTCAACGGCGTTCGGTCCGTTCGGCTCAACGTCGTCGCCGTGACCGCCGAGGTTGAACGCCTCGTTCCTTAGGCGTAGCGTGACGAATTTCTTTGGTGGAGGGAAGGGGTGGGGGGCCTAAATTTCTTATCAGTTTAGGACCGCAAAAATCATTAAAATCTTATCATTACTTTCCTTTGTAATATAATATATACAATTATAATTATTCTTATTTTTACTTATAACAACGACGAGCAGTGAGGAAAAAGTAAAGCGAGCCCGTGATCCTAATATTTCCGAAGAGGGAAAAGCAACAATATTGCATTGCGTATCAAAAGAAAATCATGTAACCGAAAATAAAAAAAATGAGTAAATTGTAATTGTGTTTAGTCAAAATTCATCGAGCCAAATTTAAATCACAAAAAACTTACAATATAAAACATTATTTGAAATTTGTACGCTAAACCAAAATAAACAATTGGTTTGTAACCATAGTAACCGCGGTAACCATGGTAACCGTACGATTCGCATACTCTAAATTCTAAGCATAGCTTCTGCCGGGTGTTTATTTGTGTTATTTTTTACTTTTTAGTTATAATAAAAGTACTTAATAATTTGTGAATAGATTACTAAATTAATTTTGGAAGATTTTAACCCTTTTTGCCTAAAGTTACAAATAGTGAGATCAATCAAATCAATTTCGAATAAACGTTTCGATGCCAGACTGTAGATGGTAAAAAATGTTCAATTATAAATCATTTTGTGGACAATAAAACGTGTACTTATAATAATACCATTTGATTTTATTGCTTATTTTCCGTGAAAATAATTTTACATAACAACAGTATGATTATGGAACAAATAAATGATAACATACCTACTTATGTATTTTGTTACATGTGGATAATTCAAATGGTATTGTTTTGATTGGAGTAATTATTGGCGATTTTTAATTTTACAATAGCTATGGATACAGGCTGTATCCTCAAGTAATTATCACGGTACAATACATTTTTATTAGAAAAATATAGAATGTGTACAACAAGTAATTTAGTACAATAAACATAATATTGTGGTATGTTTAAGAAGTGAGAATTACATATTTTCCTGAGCTAAAATTGTTAAAGACAGCAACTAGTACTATTTCTGAGCCCCTATGGCTCCGTACCTAAATAATTAGGTAGCCTTCACCGTATTAGGTATTAAAGAGCAACTGGCTCTTGTAGTAATTATTTTTATATTAATACAGCCATGTAGTAAGTTGTGACAGTAATTCATTGTGTTAACCTCCAAACGTGCAGGGAAAACGTCATCGGCCAACAGGTGTGTCGTGATCTGTCCACGTTCAAAATTCCTTGAACACACATTATTTTACTTATTGTGTACCTATGTATTCTACTATATTATTATACTTATATAGCTATGTGGGTATAGCAGCTGTGTATAACTAATAGAACGCTGAAATCTATATAATAGTACAATATAGTATGGTGATTCATTAAGGACAAGATACTCATTTTCTAGTAAAATAATTGCAATTTTGTAAAGATATTAAAGTTTTTAATTTAAGACTGCAGGAAAGGGGAGTGTAGTATTATTTTTATCAGCAGATTACTTCACTGCACTTCACACTACTTGAAATGTTTTCAAATAGAAAAACTACAAAACGCCAATTATCTTAATCATATACGAGTGTCTTAATGAATGACCCTGTATTTTACGGCTGTTAACATTTTTGGACACTGATTTTAAAATATGCCGAGGGCCACAGGTCGTTGGTAAACTAGCCGTTAAAGTTCTTATCAATAGGATTATATTGTTATGTTCTTTCATAGCCGGCCTCGACGATAATACCAAGAGGATATTTACGTTTTATATTTGGTTTTTTAATAGTTTTAGTTTTAACACAATACAAATATATTTTCTGTTTAAAGTAACTGTTTATTTGTAAGAGGCTTTACCCGAAAGAGCACACTTTACCTAATTTTTGCCCGAATAAGCACATTTTTTATTATGTACAACCCAAATGTGCAAAAAATGACAATAAGCATGAAAGTACAACTTAAAAAAACCTAGTTATTTTTTCCGCTATACGGGAAAACATTGAATCATTGATATGTTATCTCTTATCAATTATCTGTTATCAATTTGCTCGTATTTCTTATCACTTATATCGAATCTCTTAGCTCTTAATATTCTAAATTATTTTAAACATATTTTTGAATGTTGTATCGCGAAAATGGTGACATGAAATTTCTTGTATCCAGCCCAATAACATATCCATGTTGAAAAGAACATGTACCTACAATAATAATATTATATGAATGTGAAACATGGAAGAAAAACAAATGAAGAGGTACTTTGGAACTTTGGAAGAAAAACGTACACAAAAATGGTTGGACATGCCCTGAGACACCCAGAAGAGCTGCTTAATATAATTTTAGAAGGTATGATAGAAGTAAAGAAAACTGCAGGACGTCCTCGAAATTTTTATAGGTATAGGACAAATTAAAAGTGGTGCAAGAGTCAAAACCTTTAAGGAACTTAAGCAAAAGGCGAGCAATCGGCCTGAATAGAGAATTGCAGTTGTAAACCAACCTTCGGGTTGAAAAAAAAACATTGATATTAATAACAATAACTATATTGATCCGTACAAGTTTCAGCACAATTGAAAATTAATGGGGGAAAAAAATATTATAAATAAAACGCAACAAAAAAAAAAACCAAATAGGTAAGCAAGATGATATAAATGTCTGTGAGTAATGTATGAAAAAAACTAGGACTATTTTTTAAAATTGTTATTAATAATTATTATCTTATTTACTGTATTTTAATGATGCGCTGTGTGATTTGTTATAACTAAAAAACTACAAAAAAATCTGTTAATCTTTGAATTTTATGTAATCGTTATATTGTACGGGTTCGATAAACGGATAATAATTTAAAAAAAATATATATAAGTGTGTATAATCAAATGAACGGTAATACCGAATTTACTAAAATAAATAAAATTAGAAAAAAAACTAATAAAACATAAAACTTGCTAAATGGTTAGTTATTTAGATCTAGAGATTGTACGTAATATCTAATTGATTGTTTTTTTTTTAAATATTTTAAGATGACCTTATTGAATTTAAATTGGATAATAATTGTTTAGATCTAGTAATGTGTTCATGTTGTACATGGTACAAACTATTGATGTCCATTTTTAATATTTGAAAGTCCATTACCTATATTAAGAACACCAAAATCATTATTAAGTTACATATTGTAATATTT